GGACATGTATTTCTTACTGTACAATCGTGGACATCTTTATTCAATGGCGCATGCGGACCAGATGCTAGATTATAGTTACATTTGGTACGACCATTACGAAAACACCAAGAAAGAAACTCTGCGGGCCTTCTGGAGAGATATGTTTTCCACATCCAAACTGTGGACGTACATGTATGCACATACCCTTATAGCCATCATATCCAAATGTGGACCCTGACTCCTAACAAAACACGGACCTAAGAAGACCATACTAACGTGGACACATTTTGAAAATTCAGGCAATTATGCATAATTCAAACGAATGTGACTTAAGTATGCGTTTCGGACGATGATGGAAAACAATAATAGATGTTTATGTGATACTAATAATGAGAAAACAATATAAAAAAATAATTATGAGAAAAAAAATAATAACAATAATAATCATAATACATGTAATAATGTTACTACTAATAATAATGGCAATAGTAACAATAAGGATAATAATAATGGTAATGGTAATAACAATAATAATAATAATAATAATAATAATAATAATAATAATAATAATAATAATAATAATAATAATAACATTTATAAGGCGCTTTGTACGGGTGTTTCAAAGCGCACATGTGGTCTGTCTAATCATAATACCGTTAAAAAAATCAATACATAATTAATAATAAACAAACTACTTAATTATAAACTAACTTGGTGTGCACCTCCAACAATATACTACAAAATTAAATTATAGCTGCTTAAATAGGTGGGTCTTGAGAAGGGATTTAAATGATTCAACAGATTGGGCATTTTGGATGTGAGGTGGAAGTTTATTCCAGAGGGTAGGGGCAATGGGGGAGAAGGCAGTCCCCATATCGGGTTTTCGTACGTGGGCCGAGAGTGAATTGTAAGGAGGACGATGAACGGAGGGATAATACATAATAATACATAATAATTACATTAATAGGGCACTTTAACCACGGTGGTATAATCAGTCGCATAGGGGTCCACGGTTGTAGGTTTGTAAAGAATAGGTGTGTACTGCCAAGCCTTAAGTCCACGGTAGCATAGTCTTAAAATACAGGGGTCAACTGTAGCCTAACGGCTAATGTGCAAGGGGTAATAATAGCAGGGCCCTCTAGGATAACAGTTCGAAGAACTGAAGAGGCAACCCTGGGTATAAAAACACTATTATTACTATTATTATTATTATTATTATTATTGATATAATAGTCTGTAAATAGAGGTCCACAGTTGCAGGTTTGTAAAGAAGGTGTGTGTACTGCCACTGTCAGGTCTAACGTCCACGGTGACATGGTCTGTAAATAGAGGTCCACTGTTGCAGGTTTGGAAAGAAGAGGTGTGTATTGCCAGGTCTAACGTCCACGGTGACATGGTCTGTAAATAGAGGTCCACTGTTGCAGGTTTGGAAAGAAGAGTTGTGTATTGCCAGGTCTAACGTCCACGGTGACATGGTCTGTAAATAGAGGTCCACTGTTGCAGGTTTGGAAAGAAGAGTTGTGTATTGCCAGGTCTAACGTCCACGGTGACATGGTCTGTAAATAGAGGTCCACTGTTGCAGGTTTGGAAAGAAGAGTTGTGTATTGCCAGGTCTAACGTCCACGGTGACATGGTCTGTAAATAGAGGTCCACTGTTGCAGGTTTGGAAAGAAGAGTTGTGTATGCCCAGGTCTAACGTCCACGGTGACATGGTCTGTAAATAGAGGTCCACTGTTGCAGGTTTGTAAAGAAGAGGTGTGTATTGCCAGGTCTAACGTCCACGGTGACATGGTCTGTAAATAGAGGTCCACTGTTGCAGGTTTGGAAAGAAGAGTTGTGTATTGCCAGGTATAACGTCCACGGTGACATGGTCTGTAAATAGAGGTCCACTGTTGCAGGTTTGGAAAGAAGAGTTGTGTATTGCCAGGTCTAACGTCCACGGTGACATGGTCTGTAAATAGAGGTCCACTGTTGCAGGTTTGTAAAGAAGAGGTGTGTATTGCCAGGTCTAACGTCCACGGTGACATGGTCTGTAAATAGAGGTCCACTGTTGCAGGTTTGGAAAGAAGAGTTGTGTATTGCCAGGTATAACGTCCACGGTGACATGGTCTGTAAATAGAGGTCCACTGTTGCAGGTTTGGAAAGAAGAGTTGTGTATTGCCAGGTCTAACGTCCACGGTGACATGGTCTGTAAATAGAGGTCCACTGTTGCAGGTTTGTAAAGAAGAGGTGTGTATTGCCAGGTCTAACGTCCACGGTGACATGGTCTGTAAATAGAGGTCCACTGTTGCAGGTTTGGAAAGAAGAGGTGTGTATTGCCAGGTCTAACGTCCACGGTGACATGGTCTGTAAATAGGGTCCACTGTTGCAGGTTTTGTAGGTTTATGCATAATTCATCCGAAAAAAAATTACAAGCAGGAAAGAGGTGGGGGCCGGGGGGGGGGGGGATTTCCAGCTTCATTTGCTCACTTATATAGAATAGAATATATAGAATATACAGGAAGGCCTAAACTCTGATTGAGTATTCACCCCCCCCCCCCCCCCCCCATCGCTCCGCTTCCTTGGATTATCTCGAGAATATTACGCACGCACACACACAAGTCCATCAACATTATCTCATCATCATAGTGATCAGCATCATTATCACCTTCATCACCCTCATCGTCATCAACATCACATTATCATAATCACCATCATTACCGTCATCATAATCACCATCATTGTAATCGTCAACATCATCGTAATCATTATCACCATCATCATCACAACCATTATCATCATAAACATCATCATCGTCACCATCATCATAAACATCATAATCATCATCACAACCATCATAATCATCTTCATTATCATCATCATCATCATCATCATCACCACAACCATTATCATCATCGTCATCAACCGTATCACGATCATCTTAATGATGATGCAGTATTCATTTTGTGAATTATATTTTTATGGATAAACTTTATTTCTTTGACAAAATCCAGTATGAGAGATGGCATAGCAAGGTCATTGAAGAATACAATATTTGACACAAGGTATACTGAAATGTTCCTGATGAGATGTATAGAGATTCATGGATTCCAGCTAATAAAGACAAATTCCAAATAAAGACAAATATAAATAATAAACACAGTCAAGTAAATATAACAAGTAAACATATAGCAGTGGCTTTCTGCTAAAAAGTAAACATATATTGTAACATTCATTCATTGTTTGTGTAGCTAAAATTTGTCATGTTGTCTATCAATAAAGACTAAAAATGAAAACAAGTAAACATACATGAAGCAGTGGCTTTCTGCTGAAAAAAAATAATAAAAAATAATAATAAACACTTGTAAAGAGCAGTGGCTTTCTGCTATAATAACACTGGTAAACATAGCAGTGCCTTTCTGCTGAAAAGAAAAATAAATAATATCACTAGTAAACATACCAGTGGCTTTCTGCTGAAAAGAAAAATAAATAATATCACTAGTAAACATAGCAGTTGCTTTCTGTTGAAGACAAATATGAAAAATAAATAATAAACACTAGACACAGCAGTGGCTTTCTGCTGAAAAGAAAAATAAAAAATATCACTAGTAAACATAGCAGTGGTTTTCTGCTGGAAACAAATATGAAAAATAAATAATAAACACTAGACATAGCAGTGGCTTTCTGCTGAAAAGAAAAATAAATAATATCACTAGTAAACATAGCAGTGGCTTTCTACTGAAAAGAATAATAAATAGGGCGAGTCCAAGGTAATGTCCCCTCAAATAACAAATTTTCAACTTAAAGTGGAAGAAATGTAACATACATCATCAAAAACCTAGTAATTTCAAGTTTCTGAATCAAAAAAGAAAATGTTGAAAATATGCAAATTGGTCTGTTTTCTAAAGTGTAATAACCTTTTCATTATTTTGATAGTAATCAACCACTTTCAAGATAACATTTTCTTCTACACCTGTATCTACATGTACATTAGTTAAGAAATAAATGAATCGATAAAAACTAACTTTTCTACGAAGAAAAATACTAAGGAGATGGCATGTGATAAGGAGCGACCCCAATTCAATCTCATGAGTGACCCCACTTGAACTGAGGCTGTGAAGACCACCCACCCCCCCCCCCCCAAAAAAAATGCACCAAGATCCCAGATGGACATACACATGCAAACAAAGAAGAAGATGATCTTAGGTCTGCTATTGAAAAACCAGTGGCAAAAATTAGGGTCTACAACTACCCCATTTTCCAAATTGGATTAAGCACTTAAAAATTTGACTTAAATGAATCCAGGTTGAAAAACTGAATCGTGTAATTTCAGCACAGTGATTTGAAGGTATACTTCTGCTTTGCTTAATAACTTTTATAGCAATATAAAAGATCAATGTATTAATAATTCTTCAACTCAAAACTTTTTATAACATATCCACTGAAACGAATTAGGAATTCTTCACTTCAATTCCACAAAGGTAAAAAGAAAACTCTTATTTTGGAGCAGGAAACATTTGGCTTTAGCCCTTTTGAAATCTAAGAAAAACAAACATAATCAGGACAGCCCCATCCCAAAGAATAACCGTAAACATAACACGTTGTCAGAAGTGCAAATGAGAAGTTTATAAGAGTTGAATTCAACTACTAATCAGCCTATTTGGGGAAGAAGGGGGGGGGGTGCTCATCTAATTTTAAGGTTTTAGAGGCAATTTCGATTGGCTACAGGGGTTTTAAAATTTGGTTTAAAAGTGTGCACTGAAAAGCAAGAACCCTTTCCCTATACCTCTTTTGTCACCAGGAATTTTTTTACAAGTCAGAAGCCCTAAACATTCTACATGGTTTTCCCCCTCTAAATTTAACACTGGATTTGGCTGGAAGGCAGCCCTTCCCCCTCTACCACAACAGGGAAAAGATGCCTCTTCTTAAATCCCCAAATTCCACAGAGAGCAACAAGGGGAAGGATACCCACAGGGGGATCTGCCCCCCCCCCCTTCCCATGCCACTGCAAAAACAAAACAAAACAAAACAAAAAAAATCCATTTGCCACCAGCTAAAACTTTTACACAACCTCAAAGTACATAAAATATGTTTGTTAAACCTTCAACATAAAGGTTTGCATCAGAGCAAAAACGTGTCTCAATTACTCCTAACTTGGAAAAGGACAACCCTTTAATACCCATATTTGTGTGTAGAACATGAACAGTTTTTGAAATAAAAAACTTTCATAATTCACAATGTATTAAATTTTCGATTTTTTTTTTTCCAACAAAATTGTGGGTGTGTGTCAAACCACAAATTCGAAAATTGAAATTTATTTCACTTTCAAACCAATGGGTGAAAAATGAAGAAAAAAAAAAAATCAAAATTGTAAATCATTGAAAATTACGAATGGCCCGTAAAAAGGCATTTGCACTGATTTATATTTTCAATTACATCTTTGAAATCTTGTCTATGAATTGCAGAAGTACTGGCTTAAATTGGTAGAGAATTGTGAGCACATTTACTTTTTCAGGCAACAAACTAGAAAATTATTGTGTCCCTGGGCCACAGATGCCCTTGCTTCATGCATTCAAAATAATCTAATGAACTTTGGCCATTGACAAATTTGAACTTAACAATAGCAATACCCCAAATATACAAAGATTTATGAAAGGTTATTCTATTTTTCAGTCGGAAACCATGTTTTTAAATAATTTTGCATAAATAACGGGGTTTTCTGCATATTTAATGAGCCTTGACCTTTGAACTTTAGACATACACACCCAATATTTGAACTTGACCCGTATTTTAATACTTTCAAGCAACATGCCAAATCTGATGAAAATTGGGCAAAGATTTTTGGAGTTATTGGATGGAAACCACAATTTCACATTAAATAATGTTTTCTGAATATTTAATGAGCCTTTACATTCAACCTTTTGACCTACGAACCCAATATTTGAACTTGACCTGTATTTCAATACTATCAACCCACCAAATTTGTAAGAAATCGGACAATTAATAAGAAAGTTATGAATGTTTGAATATTTAGACAAATTGGCAATTGATGACATCATAGGTGCACAATTGACCATTTATCATATTGATATCAATGTTATAAAATGTAACTTTTTACCCCCAAATTATGATTTCCTCAAAACTCTAACTGTAGGATATCTTCTTGGTAGGTATGTGGCCCCCTTTTTTGCATGTTTGCATTAGTACAAGATTTGTATCTTTCTGTAAAAATGATGAATTTTGCACTGTGAATATATATGAATTGAATGGTGAGTTGTGCACCCATAACATCAACAAATTGGCAACATCCCTGAAAATTTTCAGTGATTTGCCCGTTTTTTCAAGTCATTAATCATAACTTTGTTATTAGTTGTCCAATATTCCGCAAACTCTTTTGTTTTGCTTGCCAATTTTTTCTGCTTCTTGTAAGAAATTATTTTTGATCGACTCTTCTTTCAAGATCATATTATATACCTGTACTTTTGAAACCCTCAGCATAACAGTTTGCATTTCAGGGTAAAGTTACTGTCTTTCAAACAAATGCCTTCATTCGTGAACTTAGTGAACTGCAGACAATGAAAAATTGCCAGACTGTACCTGCCAGCACATCAGTTCAGCATTAAAGCACAGCTTCCCCTACAAGCAATGCTCAACCAAGAACATACAAAGAACCTCATAATTGTGGTAACATGCCTGACTGTAACACCTCATTCATTTAAAATTTCTGAAGAAATCCTAAAGGGTCTCGTTTTCTAATTTGGTTTCTCACGAAATCCTTTATATTTGTCCATGTGCGACCCTTGAAGATGCGTGGATCAGCTTTCATCGCAGAGATGATTGGATCCTTTCCACAAAGTTTTCTTGTTCTTAAGAAAATCCCCAGATGCCTGTTGACAGCTTCCTTCTCAGCATCACTCCACATCTTCTTTGTCTGGCGTTTGCTGGTGCCTACTGTTTCAGCAACATCTGTATCACCTTAACAAAAGGATATAGAAGATGAAATTCATGAAATTCCTACACAAATTCTGTTGTAACTAGCACATCAATGATAAGATGCTCATCAGGCATCCAACAAAGAAATGGATGCAATTTGTACTTGCAACAGAGTAGAACAGTAAAAAGGATGGATAAAACTAAAAAAATAAATAAAAAATAGATGGATATTCGACCATATTCAACCAAAATATATGCCGCCGCCGAGTGCATGATCAATAAAAAAGAAAATTACTATACAATAACCATATACATGTAGCAGCAAGTTTGATGTCAAACTGCCACACGGTTCTTGAGATATCAACATAATTTTTTTTTTACAATATATTGACCTCCATGACCTTTGAACTTTAACCCATGACCCCAAAATATCAGCATAATTTTGTCTTGTCATACACAACCCTCAACACCGAGTCACAATTTTATATATAAGATATTGTTTTTTTTCTCCACTAAGTGACCTCTGTGGCCTTTGACCCTGTGACTCCAAAATGGAATCAAATTATTGTCCCCATAGGATATGCTCTCACTCCATACTTGAGGTCCAACCGCCACACGGTTCTTGATGTAGACAAAAAATCTTATTTTCTACAATAAATTATCCTTTGGCTCCTTGACCCCAATTTACTAGCCAAATTTTTTTCTTCTTATACTTTATCATCCCACCAAGTTACAAGTTCATATGTCAAATTGTGTGCAACATATTGTAAAAAACTGTCTTTTTCAAAAATTGACCTCTGTGACCTTTGACCCCATGACCCCCAAATCAAATCAAAGTATTGTCCTCCAAGGATATACCTGCAGATCTTGAGATATCAACAAGGTGGTTCGCGGACCATGAGTCTCGCCTGAATTTGCGATCAATATTAAAACATGTATAAGAACTTTCAAAGGCTCAAGGCCTTATATCACTTGGCCTTTTGACCCCTAGATGACCTTTAACCTCATTGTGATCACCCCACATCTGGTATTACCCGAGGATCATTTGAACTAAGTTTCAAAATAATTGAGAAATAGAGAACTGCAACCGAAGTAAAGAAAACCTATAACATTTTTTAAAACAGACTATTAATGTACTAACAAATTTGACCTTTTGACCCCTAGATGATCTTGGACATCATCATCACTCTTCATCTGGTATTACCCAAGGATCATTTGTACCAAGTAAAAAAAATAAAAGATGCGACGGGCTTCTACAGAAGCCCAATAATGAGGCTTTGGCAAATGAGGTTGGCTTTTCACCTCTAAATTACAGACTCTTAATTGGCGTTTTCAAGAAAAATATTTACATTATCCAAAGAAGTAAGGTATCATATTTCCTTGTACCTTGAATAAAAACCCAAACAAATAATTAAATGAGATTAATTAGCCTTCTCATTTAAGAATACTACCAGATTCATTGATACCAGCAGCACAGGCCAGCACTCAAAGGGTTAAGGAATAGAGAAATGAGTGCATCTAACATTTTTGTAACCACATAACCTTATTTCACTTGACCTTTTGACCAACAGATGACATTTGACTTCATCATAATCATCAATACGTCACATCTTGTATTACCCAAGGATCATTTGTATCAAGTTGTATCAAAAGTTGATTGAGAAATAGAGAAATGAGAGCTTCCTAAACAAAAACTTTAACGGCAGACCTTCGGTAGATTTCCCGCTTATTTTTAGTATGCGGCAAGTCTACCAAAGGTCTGCCGGAAGGTGTCCGCATACTTTGTACTTTCCTGGGGTGCCTTTGAAGTTTTGCCAGATTTTTTTTAATTAGCAGAGTTAGTTATTTGACTAACAGAAAGAATTAAGCATTAATATGACAAAAAAGGGCTATTTATAAATCATCATAGACAAATCAGAGTAATGAGTTGATGTACTTACTAAGAGGTCAGTCCCCTGATGAGTATCCTCCCCCCCCCCCACCCCACCCCATAAATGAAAAATAGGGGGAAAAATGAAAATGCACAAGAACTTATTCATATATTCCTAAACATAAACTAAAATAAGAAGAATGAGGAAGAGGAACAAGAGGACAAATAATGAAGTAAGAAAAAAATATATCATAAAACGAAAATGGGGATGCAGAACAATAGGAAGACGGGGAAGAGGATCAGACAGATGAAAAGCAGGTGAAGGCAAGGATGAATGAGAAGTTGAGGAGAAAGGAGGAGTAGGAGTAGGAGGAGGAGGAGGAGGAGGAGGAGAAGGGAATATATAAGTGCAAAGTGGAATAGAAGAATAGTGGATGGAAGAAGATGGAGAATGAGCAAAGGGAGGAGTAGGGGGGAGGGTGGATGCAGTGCATGGAGCTGAGGAAATGAAGAAAAAGCAAGATCACTTTCAACTGCCCTAAATGTATACATCAGATCATTGCTATGCATTCATGAACTAAGTTTTTTTTTTACATGGAAATTTTTGATGGGAATCTGCCAGCCAGCAGTGTTATCATAAAGCAAACAGAATTAAATTCGGTTAAGAAATGATAAAGAAGCAGCATTTTTTGTAATATTTGAAATATGCACATAAATTAGCATATTTAATGAGTTTCAAAATTCTATGTCGAAGTTTCGAAGCCCCCACCCAGTGCTATCATATTAAAGACTGACTCCACTCCAAAAAAAAATTGTTTTTATTGAAAGCAGAAAAATCAGACAAACAGATCAAAAAAAGTTTGAAGCAAATCCAACCATAAATAAGAAAGTTATGATTTTTTTAATGAAATCTAAAAATTGATTTCAACAGTGATCTTTCATGCAAATTGGCAAACCTTGGTCATGTGTGATGACGTATATCATGCACTTCTCTGCAAGTAACTTATTATACCTTATTGTTTTATACCATCATTTGTTAACGCTTCAATGATAAACATAAGTCTCTTTCCGTCGATAAATGCACGGATTCATAAGCATGCAATAATTCATTTGTTCAAATATTGAAAAGCAATAATAATAAAAGCAATAATAATGGATTATGAATTTAATAAACAATAAACATAATAAAATTACATATTTCATGTTTTTTCTGCTTTCATTGATAAGTTTAGGTTGGCTACTCTTTTGAAATAACTTTATAAAATAAGCCTGGTATCCAAATATTTCTCATTGAAGATTTATATAATGACACAAATATCATAGAACAAAGAAATACATAACAATTAAAATAATTAATATAAAACATAAGAAATTGTAAAAACAAAGAAATACATAAGAATAAAAGTGAAAATCAATTTTTTTTCTTCAAGATTGCAATCGTAAAATCAGTGGAAATATGTAAATAATAATAAGACATTATTTTATCATGTAATTATTAATAGATCAACAGTTAAAACAATATTTCTTATTATTTATTATAATTTATCTTAAATGTATTATATTAAATATTATAAATCCAAACATAATACCTTTTATTTTTCTACATGGAATTTATTAGCTAAAGTTACGTTCACTGATGGATTTGACCTTCATGAAGAAGTCAATAAGAAAAGTGAGTTTGTGTTTAATAATTAAAACGGATTGCTAAAAGCAATGATGATGATAATAAGATACCATAAGCTAACATTCAAGTAGTGCATGATGTACGTCATCACACGTGACCAAAGGTTGCCAATTTGCGTGAGAAATCACTGTCAAAATAGATTTTTCAATATCATTAAAGGGGAAGTCTAGACGATTTCCTAAAAAATCTATTTTACGGCTTGAAAATCAAGGAGCATTCTGATACCACTTTCATCCACGGGCGTTACTTTTGTGATTTTTAAGCTCCAATTTTGTAATTGTAATTACAGGTAACTCCGCCTAAGTCGAATCTCTTGGGACCACAAAAATTTGTTCGACTTACGCGAATTTCGACTTAGAAGAAGTAAATAACACAGGTTTGTTGTCATTTGGTCCAGAAATTTATTTCGACTTAGGCAATTATTCGACATAGACAAGTTCGACTTAGGCAGAGTTGACTGTATTTCTAAAATAGTTCTCGCATTGCCAAAGTGCGATGGCCATGTGATGTCATGGTCTGTAAATAGAGGTCCATTGTTGCAGGTTTGGAAAGAAGGTGTGTGTATTGCCAGGTCTAACATCCACGGTGACATGGTCTGTAAATAGAGGTCCACTGTTGCAGGTTTGAAAAGAAGAGGTGTGTATTGCCAGGTCTAACGTCCACGGTGACATGGTCTGTAAATAGAGGTCCACTGTTGCAGGTTTGTAAAGATGAGGTGTGTATTGCCAGGTCTAACGTCCACGGTGACATGGTCTGTAAATAGAGGTCCACTGTTGCAGGTTTGGAAAGAAGAGGTGTGTATTGCCAGGTCTAACGTCCACGGTGACATGGTCTGTAATAGAGATCCACTGTTGCAGGTTTGGAAAGAAGAGGTGTGTACTGCCAGGTCTAACGTTCACGGTGTCATAGTCTGTAAATAGAGGTCCACTGTTGCAATTTTGGAAAGAGGAGGTGTGTATTGCCAGGTATAACGTCCACGGTGACATAGTCTGTTTAATAGAAGTCCACTGTTGCAGGTTTGTAAAGAAGAGGTGTGTATTGCCAGGTCTAACGGTCACGGTGACATGGTCTGTAAATAGAGGTCCACTGTTGAAGGTTTGGAAAGAAGAGATGTGTACTGCCAGGTCTAACGTCCACGGTGACATAGTCTGTTGCCTCTTGACGTGGCCCACTACGGTTTTGAGTGTGCGAAGCACACCCTTTGGGGTGCGGAGCACCCCGGGTGCGAAGCACCTCAAGGGCCTTTTAACTAGTGATTCGCGCCATTTCTGTTGTCGGTTATGAATTATTCATCGTATAATGAATAAAACACATACTCATATATATTTATAAAGCACTCGATGTTGTCAAATGAAATTCTTCGTAGAGCCATTTGTTGATTAGTCTAAATATAATTCGCCTCCCTCATATATCTGTTCTTAGTTGCATACTTTTCTACTACCCGATCAATGAATTCAGTATAAAACGTCTGTTCTTGAAACAAACATTGGTTGATTAGCTGCGCTTGCACTCAGCTGTTTCGGAGCCTAGGCAGCGTGACGAAGATAATCTGTGCACAGCGGTAATGCATGAAATATGACACTTTTTCCGAATCCTGTGGGCAGATTCACAAAAACATCACAACCTTACAAGGCATATTTGAATGCTTTTACTCGCTTTTACTTGTGGATTCTTAAATCTTTCGATTTTCAAGAAAGTTGAGGTATACTTGATACCTTCTGAGACTGAGACGGCGGACGCCATTTTCGGATTTGTGAATCGTGCATATCATTAACGAAGGACTTATGAATATTAAAATTGATGTCATGTGATCGGGTTATAACGCTCTCATTGGCTTGAATATCACCGAAAAAAAATTTCTGTGAAAATAGGGTTTACCTAGTAACTTATTACTTGAAAAAAAAATGACAGCAGAAATGGCGCGAATCATTAGTTAAGAGGCCCCTTCAGAGCCTGCGGCTGCTCCGGGGGTGCTCCGCACCCCGAAGGGTGTGCTTCGCACACCCAAATCCGAAGTGGGCCACGTCAAGAGGCTACAGTATAGTCTGTAAATAGAGGTCCACTGTTGCAGGTTTGGAAAGAAGAGGTGTACATTGCCAGGCCTAATGGCTAACGTCCATGGTGACATGGTGACGGTCTGTAAATGGGCAGGTCCAAGATAATGTCCTCTCAAACACCAAATTTTTATTTTGAAAGGAAAGGAATGTGATACACATCATCAAATAGCATGAGTTGAAGTTTCTGAATCAAAAAAAAATTGTAAATATGCAAATTTATTCGGGCCCAAATTGCATGAAATGAAATTCAGGCATTACGTATGGGACAATTTAAAAAAATCATATAAAATAAGTGAATGAAAGTTAGAAACTGACACTCACATAACAGATTCCTTTTATCCCCCAATTAATTTGGCAAATAAAAAAAATCATGACCATGTCTATTTTTCAATGAGGCTGCGTCCTCTCCCGATTTGTCCCATACATAACATTATGATGTCAAGTTTTTTAGTTTTCTCAAAAAGTTCATTATCTATTCTAACCAAACTTAGAAAAGTTCTAATTTATCACAAATGTGACAAGAATGCATCATTATAATTTTCATAAATCGTTCCACTTTGATTTGAGAGGTACTCCAAAAAAGTGTTACGTATGGGAAATTTGTGTACAAAGTCGATGGCCATATAGCTAAGAATACAAAATTTAAACCTTGTTATTGGGAAATTTTACAGCTGCACTTCAATCTGATCATAATCTACTGTCTTAAAAATACCTTTGGATGATAATATCATTATATTATTAGTTATTTAACATACGGTTATTTACAAAAAAATATATTTTTTACAAATGTTATGATTCTTCCGAAATTACGAATTATAGTGTGCTATAATACTTGCAATTAATTTTTATTTGATCTCTTTTTGTGGTAATTTTTTTTTACAAGATATTTATAGAAAAATAGAAATAAACAAACAAAATTGAATTTGAAAAATAATATTCCAAAAATATCACATATCAACAGTAATTTCTGGGCAATGTGTGTACAAAGTCAATGGCAGAAAAAAAAAAATATACAGCAGCAGATGAAAAAAGGTGGGATTTCATTTTCTTTCTGCCTGGATAAGCTCTGTATGTTAATTATCACCAAATGGTACCAAAAACCTGATATAAGTGTGAAGGCAACCTTACATTTTCACAGAAAATTGATTTTTTTTTTTCTCCAGATTTTCCTATTGAAAATGCATGCGTCCAAAAGTGTCCCATACGAAACATCCCATACGTAACATAACTTTTGTGAGATTAATCAATCACTATGAAGAAACTATTCAATGGAATTGGCTGAAACTTCAGATTTAAAATATTGAGTACATGTAGTTTACCTTTATGCACAGTAAGTTTCAGAATGATAACTAAAATACTTTCACAGAGATTTAAGCTCAAACTTTTATTTTAAAAAATCTCATTTTCTCTGCGTCCCATACGTAACACACCTAAATTTCCACCTAACTCACTAACCAAAAGACCGAGAGTCGCGAAACTTTGCATAAATGTTCTCCCCATAGGTACAATGATAGACATGATTGTCTCTTAAATCACAATTTGTTCTCATTGTCTTTTTATAGTCCGAAATCTCTGAAATGTTACATACCTAATGTGCGGATTAGCTTGGACCTGCCCAAATACAGAGGTCCATTGTTGCAGGTTTGTATTAAAGGGATCCGGTAACTTTGTCTCAGATTCTGAAACAAAATCCGGGATTTAGCTCATGCTGCTATGATAATTATAAACCTTTATGTCAGTCAGGAACTCCATGACTTTTACAAGCCGATCGCCAGTCTGATTATCAAGATATTTATGATTGAAATTACAAATTTTCAAAACCGTTCGCCGGACGGTTTTCATAACACTACAGTCTATTGGGGGAAACGAGTATGGTAAAACCGGTCACTCACAGATTTTTACTTTTTTGAGGCACTTCTTGATCATTTTGAAGCGCGATTTTTTTAGGGCTTCAATATTACACCATATCACAGACACTGATAACACGTAGGGCCGTGTATCTCAGATTTATCATTGTTAAACGATCCCTTTAAAGGGGAAGTCTAGACGATTTCCAATAAAATCTATTTTATGGCTTGAAAATTAAGGAGCATTTTGATACCACTTTCATCCACGGGCGTTACTTTTGTGATTTTTAAGCTCCAATTTTGTGATGGTAATTATTTCTAAAATAGTTCTCGCATTGCCGAAGTGCGATGGCCGTGTGACGTCATTGTGGCACTATAACTGCGCATGTGCGAACTTTCTCCATTGACTGGATGCAAGATATCGATGTGTCAAGTGTATAGCTGCACAAATTTTATCAGTTCTTGGGGAAAATGACCACTTTTCCAATTCTGAAGCCCTTGACACATAGGGCGATATATGCTCAATAGATTCTAGATATTTGAGCTGACAATTTTGATGTAAAAATGTAGAAATATTGGTGTTTGAACCTCAAGCCGTGGGATTTCTGACTGCTTGCTCAACAAAAGTGCGACACTGACGTCATGCGGACAGTGTAGCGAAATGCATTTCGGGTAAAACTGGCTCGTGCGAGCACTTTTGCTTATATCGCTTTTCCAGTGATTACTCGGTTATTCATGGGTCTACAGAGTCAAGTAAGACATTTTCTGAAAGCTTGATTTTTGCTCTATTTCAATTTTAAATTAAATTATCGCATAGACTTCCCCTTTAAAGAAGAGGTGTGTATTGCCAGCCCTAATGTCCACGGCGAAATAGCATATAAATACAGGAGTCCTCTGTTGTAGGTTCGTAAAGAAGGGGTGTGTATTGCATCATCGGAATCGTCATCACCATCATCATCACCACCATCACCATAATCATCGTAAACGTCGACCACCATCACCATCATCATCAAAATCGTCATCACCATCACCAAGAAACCCTTGTCAGTAAACATAGCAGTGGCTTTCTGCTAAAAAGTGTCCTTGGAATTATGTCCACTTACGCGAATTGTCCACGTAGGAATGAAATAATACATGTAAGTCAATGTTTTTTGATGGTTCGTTAAGTTGGGGATGCTGATTCCAAATCTAAATGATGCCACTCAAAAAACCAACATTTTTTGCAAATTGACAAAATCCTAGATAGCCGCCAAAATATGCAAATTAGCCATACAAATCACAAAATTACACACACACTGATCATAAAATGCCTGTAATTGTGATGGATGAATGAAACTGTCTGAAAACATGATTTTTTTTAGCTAAACCTTGAATTTCTTATACGATAGAATGCTGCATTTTGAAATTCAAAATGCCAACATAAGCCCCTAACTAATATACTAATTTACTATATAATATGAAAGAACTAGCACTGTCTGACCACAAAGTGCATGTAATTATGATGTACACGTGTGAGTGAATTAGTGTCTGAAAACAAGATTTTTTTTTAAAGATTGTATCATTAATGTCATTTGCAGTAATTTTTTTAAATTCAGAATGGCTGCAATAGACCCCCCCCCCCAAAAAAACTATGTACAATATAAATGTAGAAAAAAATATTTTCACAAGAGAGCACAATGGGACCATAAAATGCATGTACATTGTACATGTCAACAATGCTGTAAATTACATGTGCAGATGTTCCTTAAAGTTTATGTGCATAATGTGCACCACACAAAGATGACATTCAAATTTATCAGACCTTTGAATAATGAAGGGACCAAAATATCTCCTGTTACAGCATTTTAGCTTTTTTGAAAACTATTTATAAGTTGATAACAAAATCCCTGAAAAAAATAAATGATGTAAAATTTCAGAATATTAGCAAGCACTTTCAAGAAATTTTAGAGTTCGCTAGTTGACCAGAGGGAGAGCCTTGGGACCAAAGAATAGAATTGAACTTCGGTTTGCCTACCTGTACTTTACACCACAGTGTTTAAAGTGAAAAACATACGAGTCTTCACTGGTCATCTCCTCATCATCAGAAACTAAAGACCGCTCGCCTCTATATTCAAGGAGAAAGCTCCCCTTCTCGAAAGTCATTGATGTAAAAAGACCATATCCTGGAAAATACAAATGTTTGTGATTTTGAAGGTTAAAGGAAAAATCAGAAATCATAATTGTACCGCAACTCAAAAAGTATTTTATCAATTTTTTTGTCTTTCAACAAAATGACGTACAAATTTACTAAAGGTACGTGAGGGGTCACTGTTGCCAAACAGCTGGTGTTTTGCTACAAAATCATGCAGTAACATTAGATGCTAGAAAAAGTATTACTCTTTTGCCAGCACGTGCCTTGTACCATTAACCAGTTTTTTTTTTCTTTTTCTGATCATTAAAACACATTTTTTGTTGTGTCTTCACTTTAGCCAAAATGAAACACTGACCAAACCAAAAGACACGAACCAATTAGAGCTTATCATTTCCATCCAGTCAAACTTAACCAAATCCAATGCTGATGGAATCCATTCACAGTTCTGCACTGTTATCAGGTGATTATTACCAAAGATGAGAATCCTACTTTGTGTATACTGATCCATGGTCCCCGCAAGAAAGGAAAGCTGTGACTGTGAGAGACAATTCTGGTTCTCGGCCAAAAGAATCAGATGGCAGATCTTTTGGTCTGGAAACTGTCCTGAGGAGCCCGATGGGAAAGGTACATTGAATAAAACTTTTCCAAGTTTATTCAAAGTCAATGATATAGGCAGCAATTATCAGAAAATTTAGTGATCCACACCCATAATAAAGACAAATAGCCCTCACCCACTAAAAGATACAAATTCCCCAAAATGTCCTGATCCACTGTCTCCCTTTTGAAACACAGACTTTACTAGAAGCAGATAGAACTGTATCTGTATCTGTAACATACGTAATAATACTACACACACTTGTAAAAATTATTCCATATTTCATTCTAAATTTACAGTTCTTGGCAGCACTTATTTAAACTCAAAGAAAGGTTATTCTTACCGATCACATCATTTATATATTGTTTTTGAAATCCACTCTTGTCCTTCCCCAGGCTACAGAAATGCTCTGCTTCGGCTGCCGGAGAAAATCTTTTTCTCCTGGAAGACATACTGTTCAAAACAAAACAGATGTGATGTAACAGTTATTTAATGTGACATTTAATGCGACGCTTACTCATTGATATCCAATGAATACAGAATAGACTAACTTGATCCAAATTAATTTGGAAGTCAAAATCTGCAAACTGATAATAGGCCTACATACTGTTCATCTTTCAATAATACATGTAGACTTACATGTAGAGCAAAAGGAGACCTTGGCCATGTATCCTATTCAAATGCTCCCAGAGTCCCTTTTTAACTGGACACCTTGACCTAGCCCGAGGTCCTAACTTTAGTTGTTACAGTTATTGTTAATTACTTTTAAGGCTAGGCATTTGTGGAGTGCCTTTGGTAGATCTAGAGGTCAAGTCATGATAGTGTGGCATCGAGTTATGAGATCACTACATCCATGATGTCCTTTGACCTAGTTAATATTTTTGTTGAGCAATTTAGCAATTTTAGTCTAGCCTCTAGGATCTTGCCGTTTGAAGTTATATCTATGACGTCATATGTAAACAACAGTCCAATGAACAGCGTGAAATGAGCATTTCATCATCGCAATGATTTTTATCTGCCATATCTACAGAGAGGAGTTGGCGCTCTATTATCATTATTATCAAAATTATTATATTATAGCCTCATGGTATAGAAATCGTTTAGGATATAGAGCTATGATGCTATCGGTATCGGATGCACAATTTGCAACTGTCAGCAGGCAGCGGAGATGTGGCAAGCTAGCCAGAGATTCCCCAGTTGTGCCAGGCATCTTGATCGTACTGGCACCCCTCCCCTGTGGTCGGCCGGCCGGCTAGCTGTGTTTGTGTGCTGGCCGATATTTTCACGCGGACATGAATTGTAATCAAAATGGCAGCCCCCCAAGGAAAAATTGTGAGAGGAAAATGCTGCACTTCTGTTTAATGTATTTAAAGATGAGGAACTAGATATTTTCATTGGGGATGTTAACAGCGAGAACACAAAAAATTAGGTAAACTTTGGACTGAATATCTTTAAACTGGTGATTGAAACAGCATCAGTCTTTGCATAGTACATTTTAAAAAAAGATGGAAAAAGAATTGTATTTGTGGTGGAAGGGGAGAGCGGAGGGGGATAAGATATAAATCAACTTTATCATGGAGTAGTAGAGTAAAGTGGAAATTATGGATTCCGCGTTGGCAGGATATAGCACTATTTACTGAGGGGCATTTAGTAGGATGTTTACTATTAGAAGTGGGCTACAGGGGAATAAGTATTTTTCAGAAACAGATGGGACATATCTCAGCTTGTTGATGCAGCTTGATCTCCTGATCGATATGACACCAAATTGGAAGAATATCCAGACAGTGCCGCCCAAAAATCAAATTTAAGGAGGCGTGGCCAAAAATGCTGAGTCCTCATTTTTCAAAAATGTGAACAAAAATTGTATCTTCTATTCTCTTTTTTGAAGGGCAATTGGCATTTTAATGGCTTATTATGTTTTCAATTGTGACAAATCCAATTACACTGTCTAAATACCTTTAATAATAAACCCCTAATATATTGTCCTAAAAACAAGATTTGAGTTGAAACACAGTAGAGCCAGAGGAGAGGCATTATGCCCCCCCCCCCCACGTTGTTTTGCATAAGTCCGACACACATAATTTTTTCAACAATGTATCTATGGACTGCTTCGTTTGATGTCTATGGCAATTTATGAGACCAAAATCAACATGCCCCCTCCAATTATATTTAAGACTTAACCCTTCAAAAAATGTTGTCGACCTGAAAACTAAATGCGAATTCAATTAAGAGGTAATAGAAATTGAATTTGAGGAGAATTTTCATAAATAGATGTATTTAGTTTATTTTAGCTTTCAGTGGCTGAGCTCAGTTCATTTTAGGATAATTATGGCTGAAAAGTGTTCAGCAGCAAAATTTCCCCCTAAAACACACAAAACATTTTAATTTGCATTGACTTTGTTGATGATGTCATTGCTCCATATTTTCCAATAGAGTCTGTTGAAAAAATTATACATTTTATCAAAATCTGTGTACGACCAGGATTAGGATACAAGTATGTTTTGCCCACCACTGTAATTTTAAACTATTCAAGCATGAATGGTCTCACACAATACTTTATTTAGGCATAAAAGTGCAACTTTAACTTAACCATTTGTGTGTACAGAGTCAATGGGAAATTGTGAGGCAGTGATATCGGGTACTCCCGACGAGTCCGACAGCCCACAAGTCCGACAACCCACGAGGCCGACATTTTTAATAATTGGTGAACGAGATAGACATTAAATAAAAACGGACTTGAGTCCGACAGCTCATTTATCCGACAAAATTATAAAAATGCCTATGAGCACGACCAAACATAAATTTTACAAACGAGACCGACTCTAGGTAAAATTGGTCTATTAGTCCGACAGTTTGCTTTTTAGCCGATTAGATCGACAGTAGTTCAAATTGTATTTTAGTCCGATAATTTATAAATTTTGCGCATTACTCCGACAATTGAATAGTGCCATCTATTGTTGGCGGACTAGATTCCTATTTTCTGAACTGTCTGACTAGCAATATATTTTACCAATTTGTCGGTCTATTGCACTATAATACGTTAGTCGGTCTCGTAGGCCCTTTTTGCGTAGTGTCGGTCTCAAAGTAAATAATTTGTCAGTGTCGATCTAGCGAGCCTAAAAGTCAAAATGTCTAGCTAGAACCTCTTTTTGAAAAATGTCGATGTAGTAGGCTTATATTCATTTCTGTCGGATTCGTGAGCTGTCGGACTCGTAGGCTGTCGGACTCATGGGATGCTCCCATGATATCAACTTGCTTCATGCACGTTTAAAATGAATTGTTGTGACATAGTGTATCAAAGTGACTTGTATGGGATCAATCACAAGTTCAGGCTTCAAAGAATATGCCTTGACACTGTTTTCTTGCTTAGGCCCCCCCCCAAAAAAAATTGTTGTATTGGCGTAACGGGCCCCTGAAAAATAGGGTCGGTCGGTCGGGATTTATTTATTTATTTGTTTATTTATTTATTTTTGTGTGCGTTCGTAACCTGCACACACACCACTATTCATGCAGGCGCTATTACATACAACCATACGTTTACATGGATACATTCAAACACATGCAGAACCTAGTGAAAGTTTATTTTGTGGAAAAATTGAACATTCAAAAGCGCAATATGCGCAGCCGAAACACTTTCCGGGTTTTTTTCGATAGCGATCGCTATCAGTATCACTATCGAAAAAAAGATATCGATAGCAAAAAAAAAAAAAAAAGGTAGGGTCGGCTCCTTTTTTTAGGGTCGGGCGAGTTACGCCAAGGCACATGATGCAACAATCTTAGGCATATTGTCCATGTGATGTTATTAAGAAAATAAAATAGAAGATAATTAGACCCTACCATGTATTCTTGGTGGCGATAGGTGCGTACCTTTAAAAGACAATCAAACACTACAACAGCGCTCGAGAGGTCTTTGACTTTTCTAGGCTAGATCTAAGTCTTTAGGATTTGTTCTAAAGAAATTTTCTTCATGATTTTTTTCTTCTTCTCTTTTATTTTTAAGTAATCTCAAGAATTTTCTGCATCTAGTGTTACCAAGCACTGTGATTAAAATTATATTTTATAACATTTTATATTCAACAAGAAAAAAGGTGTGTACCCTGGCCTTGGAGTACTCCAGCCAGCAATGCATACAAAGTCTAACTTATGACTTATGTAGGCCTACCGCGGCCGCATCCGCCCCTGACAGACAGTCTCAAGTTCTTGCAGTTGCAATACATTAAACGGATTGTGCGACTTACATCGAATTTGTAATGAAGCTGAATTCTCTCAGCTCCAAAACGCACACAAGTTAAGCCCAAAATGTTGGGCTAGATGAATATCCTGTATTTGAAAAGAAAAATGATTAGAAACGTACCTGAAATTGAAGATTTATCACACCTCTTGCGAACTTGCGCGCCGTACTTGGTGCGGCTACATTGTCACGATCACGTTGGTATTTTGGTTGCGCGTGCACGGTACTTTATGTACGAGTTTTGGCGCTCGATATCGATCTAGATCTCTACACGTCACTCACTGCCGAAAGGGGGCGTTATTCATTTATGCGCGACGATTCCTGGAGAATTTTGTCACACGAACTGTGTATTCGTACACTCCTGATACTATTTATTACCTCTAACGTGGACTTCGTCAAATTTTCCAGATATTAAGAGAGCGCCCTCATTGGGCCACGTAAATGACGAAAATAATAGGCGTTCTAATCGTGGACGTCCACGATTCCTGTGTGTCCACGGTTTGAAGGTGTGTATTCTGGTGAAAGTCCACGATCGAAGGCATTTACACACGCACACGCACTCACACATAAGCACACACAGGATCACTTTTATACTGACAAATGATTTTGCAGCATCGCGACTTGAAGAAAGAAAGGAAGAAAGAAATGAAGAAATAAATACATGAAGAAATAAATAAAGAAAGACAAAAAAATAAATAAATAAAATAAGAAAATAAAGGAGAAAAAGAAGATGAAGATAACGATAAAGAAGAGAAAGAAGAAAAAGAAAAAACACACACGCACCCACCCACACACAAACACATAGATTCATGAGGCGAGAAAGAAAGTTAATAGGTTTCGCAATCTTTTGTAAACCAAGATATGAATACCCCCATATTAAAATCGCAAAGACGTTATCCATAAAAAGTGTAATATAATGATTCTAGCTAGCCGTTGGATAAAATTATGAATCGTATACATTTCTTACTTCTTCCGTCTGAAACACAGCTGAGGGTCATTTAATTAGGCCAGCAGGATAGTTTGAATATCCCTTTCCAACTATTGAACATACAACTTTGATCTTTTATCTATGCTATGTTCGTCTAACAGAGTGGGTCAAGTTATGGATATATAGGCCTAAATGAAAGTAAAGATGGTAAATCTTGATATGATAAATGACGTGAACCAGTTTATACATAATGTAATACGGTCATGAATGTTACGATTGAAATTGGACCCCTTATGCAGCTGCGCTAAACAAAGAAAGAGAGAGAGAGAGAACAAAAGCGATATAAGTCATGAAAATCGTGTTTCATGTCGCCCTTCACGGAGCGCATCATTGCCGGAGTGTTACCACTGCTATCATTAATGTTTCATGTACATTATCTATGCGAGCTTGAACCTGATGAAACGTACACGCTCTATACGACGCACGCACCACATTCACACAGAGCGAGATGGTAACTGGAGAGTCAAGGGCAATGATGGCGTCGGGTAGAATCGCCTTCGAAAGAACTGGAACACGGAAATGGACCCCTGAACTCTAGACTCTTTAATGCATGTACCAAATTAGCCCCGACGTCGGTGGTCAGTCAAAGAAGAAAAAAAAGTCGATTAAATTTCAAATCCATCTTTACGAAATCAAGGACCGAACTCTCTCCCTCTCTCTTGCTCGTCCTTCGTTCTATACATATTTTCTTCAAGTTTCAATTATGACTAGTCTTCTATCATGACTCTCATCCTCCATTTTATTCCTACTTAGTGTTTGTTCGTTGGTTGGTTGGTTGTACCTGACAGCTAAGAAAGTATCGAATGCATGTAAGTAAGCAACTAGGGGACCGACGGCTCTGAGTCTTCTCGATGAGGGACTTGGTAACGAGGACCAATGCCTTACCAAAGGGCTCTATGGGCATTAACTTTGTTTCAAACCCGGGAACGAGACCACTGCTCTTCCACTGACCCACCTCACCTTATAATTCTTGCCAAAAAAAAAGAAGATTTTATTCGAATACAGCCCTTAAGAAGTTAATCAATATTTTATCAATTTTCAAATTATATATATCACTTGCTTCCATTTCTTGAGTCTCAAGTGATAGGTACCTCTTCAAAGTTCAACTCTGAAGTTCTTAAAGTTCTAAATTGCTTTAAAGTACGTCGGTAAGGAATTCCAGAATTTGATTCCATTGAAATAAAACGAACTGCCAATTCTGCCTACATTATAAAGTAGGGCAAAACTCACATCAGGCTTTCGTATAACCCTGGTTAATATAAATAATATTGACTTCTGTCATTGCTGCATAACTATTCAATGTAACGAGCTCAAGTTTATTCTTTCATTCTTTCCTATATTTAAATCAATTTATTTGGTTAATTATTTATTTGCTTGTTAATTTCGCTTTTTTCCTGGCAAAGTTCATCACCTTATAGTTATGTAATACAATCATAGTGATAATGAGTATAAAGCAGTGGTAGACTAAGAAGACAATTAAACATGTATTACAACTCGTTGATATTGGGTATCACTTTAATTGTGTTTTTGCGACCGTCACTTTTTATGATGATTTCATATTTGTTTCGGCTTATTGGAATCTCTTCATGTACATCTACTATGTTTGTTGTTTTGACATAATTTCTTCAAAAGAGATATCATGCAGTTGTAAGTTTTGAAATCCAAGAATAAGGCATGAACCTTGCAATAAGACTACTTTCCATTCCGCATCCTGTTAGTGAGGTGCTGAAGACATTGAAGCAGAGAGGAAGAAATTAGGTCACCCGATTACTGACCATGGGCATAAATATCTGCTAATATTGGCGGGAAGGACTTCCGGAATAAACAAGTTAAAACACTGATCTCACTTTCAGGCACGTCCATAAATATTTTTCATCTCCATACGCAGTAGCATGAACAAAATTGCACGCTCGAAGACAAAAAATAAATGTTTGAGCAGGGGGATAAGTCTACAGTAATTTATGCGTGACGATAGTGACGTAGTTAGAAACAGAAGGTTTTACAGTCATAGTGAAATTGTTTATAGCAAGGACTGCAACGTGCAGAAGATTAAATGAAGTGCACAGTAATGATCTAAGCTGGTTATAATTTTACATCTTGTTGACGGATCTGAAGAAAGAAAACTTAGATGTTAATCCCATAAATCAAATATTTTTAAAAAGTTCAAGTCTAATTTATTTATAAATATTTTCCAGGTTAGGTGATGCATCTGCAAACACGTTCGTGAGATACGTCAAAATTAATTGTTATCAAAGTTAAAATGACCACGAATAACCGGGGTACGTTCAAGATATAATAGGTCAAAGTTTACAACAACAAAAACACGCATAAATTGAAATAAAAGATGAAATTTTGCTGAAGGTAATGTGTCCAACAACAAAAAAGGTCTTTCGCAAGGGCAAAGTACGGGTCCAGCCATTGAGGGGCAACTGTGGCATCAAGGACGTGATGAAGGGGATGGGGGTAGCGACATTTCGAAGTACATACTTTGTAACAAAGATCACCGATTGAAGGAGGTTTTTTTTCTTTTTTTGGGGGGGGGGGGGGGACGGATTCTGTCATTTTCTTTAAAGCTCTCAATTTCACTCTCCCTTTCAATTATATATCACTTTTACCCTTCCCCTTTTTTGTTGCTGTTAGATGAGGGGTTGTGGGCAGGGTTGTGGGCCCAATGCCCCCATAGCTACCCGACACAGGTCGTTCGACTGGAGAGTTGACGGTGGGTGGTGGTGGTGGGGGGGGGGGCAAGATTTTCTGTTAAAGAATATAATCGTTATACATATCATGATGTCATCAATTTTCGTTTTTCCTACTGCAACAGAAAAGAAAGTGCAATAATTTGTTATCAAAGGTCATCAAATCATGCACTTTAAGTTTCTGGTAATGGAACTGTACATGCATGTTGACTGCCTTGGACCGAAATCATTCTTAAATAGAAAGTTCATCCTGATATTAAGTAGCTTTAAATAAAAACAACAAAAAAGAGAAAGAAACAAGAAGTAAAAGTTTGAGCAAAATCCTATTAAAAATAGGAAAATTATGAAATGTTGTCAATCTAACACAAGTTGGCAACACTGTGACATTTCATGCAAGCTCCTTTCCAATTTGCCCTGCACAGAACCGTATTTTTGAAATTTTCATTGCCTTAGTTTTTTTTCGTGTTCATAACATGATAACATGATGAAAAAACAAATAATCCATGATATGGTTTGTATGCCCGTATTTAAACTTTGTTGTTCAATTTCCTCTGTATTTGTAGGCTATAATGTGTACAGGGCTACCCATGATAACAGTTTGAACACTGATAGAGTTACCCTGTTTAAATAAAAACGAATAAATAAAATGAATACAATTAAATACCTACAACAGAAAATTCGCAATATTGTACCATTGATTGATCGCACTGGTGTCAATGTAAATTCACGGTTAACATTTTACCCGCCAATGTCATGACGTAAATAATAAAGCCGGTTTCCTCCGATTTCGAAATAAGACGAAACTAGCACAATGCTCGCCAAATTTGCTTACCTATATTTTCCACCATGCGAACGTTTATACGCTAAATTCCAGGGTAACAAATCGAGATGACCTGCAAATCAAGGTGTTGTACGCGGGAATTAAGGTTGACCAAGAATTTGGCCTTTTTAATGACCGTCTAGACTTGGACGTCAGAGAACGGTACAGGAGAGAAATGAAGATACATTACCGTTCTAAATGTAAGCATCGGAAAGGGGAAAACTCTCATATCAAACCGATCGCTTCTTCTTTAACCATCTGTTTTCATGATTTCAGGCAGCGTCGGCTTCTTTGTTCAATGCAAGCTGTATCGGAAAATTACAGATAATGGGATATAAGAGAACACCTTGTGAACCGAAGTCTGAATAAAACAAAATTAAATAAAAAGAAAAGAGAGTAACGATTACATTTGACATGGTCTAAATCGTAAAGGCTTTGATATTGAACGCTGGGATTAAAAATAACATACCTGGGACATTCCCGTAATAAAATGGCAATTATATTGTTTTGAGGAAATTAAGCTTTTGAGACAAACAAGACGTAGAGCTTGCAAGGTCATCCACTGTATTCTTCTTTCAGCTCTCGCCAGGTATACCAAAACCTTAAAGTGACTCGGTATCATTGTTGAAAGGTGATGAAAAAATTGCTTAATTTTTGTGTAAAATGTTACTTATTATATTCCTTTTACTGTACTAACTCTGACATGCAAAAAATCCTGACAAAATTCTCAAACCTCAAAGATATATATATATATATATATATATATATATATATATATGGTTTTATTTGAAGGCGTCACTGTGCAACACCCTCTAACAGTGATTAAGAGTAATTTCTCCCAACCATTTTTGAATTTTCCCAACCGTTTTTCCATGAAAAAAAGGCATAAAACAGGCTATTAAAAATCTGTAAACACTTAAATGTCTGGAATAATTGCTTTGTGACCATTTACATTCACCTAAAATGTAATTAAATTGTAATAATATAGTTCGGAGAATTAAGGAATCGATCAGATCAGTTTTTCTCAATTTGTATCATTAATAATGGTCCGTTTTAACTCAAATGTTCAGATTATCTTTAATTGTGCATCTATCATTGAAGTCACTACTTTAAAACCACTATCTCTCATCTGAACAATGTTACCAAGTCCCTTTAAAGAAACATCATTCCCCCCCCCAAAAAAAAAAAAAAAAAAAAAAACCTTTGATCTTTCTTCGTGTATTACAACTTTATTATATTATAATCCATACAACCTAAATAAAGGATTTTTGTTCCCTTTTAATTGAACCGTATTATTCATCTCTGTTCTTAACTCAATTTTCATGAAAAAATATCTTTAAAAAAACACTTTACAAGCCTCGTTTCTCAAAATCATTATGTCATAAAACCGAACGTATCATCAATAACTCGTATGCAATTTTATGTCGGAACATTGAGCTAAAGTGTGATTTGATAGATATATAAATATGTATATCTTATACCCAGTCAATCATAAGAACGCATCAATTTAGCCTTTGTTCGTAAACTCTCTTTATGAAAATATTTAAGGACAGAAACCACCAGCCGAACAACTATCTCATATCACGGCACCTAGGACAATTACCTACTGGACTAGAAGGACATTTACCACCCTACCCCACCCCTCCTAATTCATGACCCCAAGGCATTTGTCCTATACGTTAATTGGGGTTATCATAAAGGGGTAGTTAAGTTGTCCCAGAGTATAGTAGTCCGGTGTTAATTGTCCTAGGGTAGTTCTTCCGGGAGATATTTGTCGGGTGTAAATGCCCAGGGTTAATTGTCCGTTGGAGTAGTAATTTGTCCGGGGTGATCGTCCATAACTGTTCTATATAAGCAACACAATGGTAGCAAGTCAACAACCGACAAGGAAATAAGAAGAAGAAAACTGAGAAGAAAGAGGAAATAGTAAAATAAAAAGGAATCAGAAGTCAAAGGAGCGAAAGAGGAAACATTTCAGTAAAAGGCGATAAATACAGTGCAATTTTCGTCCATAAAACGAAGATGACTGTATTTTCCCATTGGCGAACTTTTTATCAAAATGTAAGACCACCTTCTTCCATAGACAAGATAATTTGCGAGGACATAAACCATACATGTATTAAAACGGAACAACTGAGTATACGGTTATATAAAGCGAAATTAAGGAGTAAAGCCAGAGGTCGGGCGTGCCCCGATCCAAGGTACGACTAAATCCCAGTTAGTTTTTGAAACCTCCCGCAGAGTGCGGCGCCTAGAAATTATCGAAAACTTCCATTTTAAAGGGAAAATAGCATCTGAATGTGTTCGTGCATGAAGTGTATAAAACAATTGAAATTGTAACAGATGTTGTTGTGGTTTGAGAGAGCGAGGGGGCTTGTGGCGATGAGTTATGTGGAGGAAAAAAGAAAACATATTGAAGTTTGTCAATACAGGTCTGATTTATTGATTTGTTATCTGAGCACCATAATCCATTTTCGCCTTTAAAACATAATTATTAAATCTTATCTATAGAATCAAAATGGATGTCACTATATTTTTACGTAGGATTATTATGTTCCTATGAATTAAATTATTGCGTGTTTTATAAGTATTGTTAAGGATATGAGTTTTTGAGCTAAATATTTTATTTTAAAGAATAATGTTAGGATTTAGAAGAAGCAAGACTGAAAGTTTATCAACAAAATGTGTGATTGCCTTTAAGCAGAGACTACCCCTGGATCATCATAAGCGTAAATCTTTCATCGCATTTTAGGGCTTTTGTGCAAATTTGCAAAGATCTCCGACGAGAAACCCAAGTTCATCTCTTAAGAATGTTGCCCTAAAGTGGATGTTATGTATACAATGGCTGACAAGTAAATGGATTTACAAAACCCATCGACTTTTACGACGAAAAGAAAAAATAGGGGGGGGGGGGGGGTCTTTCCTTGGGTGGAAGGTTCAAGGTTGAGAAAGGAGATACAATTTCGGAATTTAAACTAAGGATTAGGGTGGCTCAGAGATGATCTTGAAAGCTTTTCCAGGGATTTCAACACCTTGAATTTGACATTGAAATGGGATTGTGAGCTGACATATACCCTTCCCGCCTATTGCAAAGTATTGTTGTTCTGTTGTTATTCTTTCTATCGAGTTGTCATGCACTTCCATTATTTCCAGGGATTTTTTTCTTCTTCTATAAGCTTATATTAGTGTAGTCACGACATCTCCCGTTTATCAACCTCGAGAGTTTACTTAAGACTGATTAAATCTTTAAAAATAGAAATCCAGAGAAAATGATATTGATCGATCTTATTCGAAATAATACAAGATAAAACTAAAAGCTACCCGACCTATTCAAGCCAATGAACTCGAGCCATTTCAAACTAAGCATGGTGTATCAGCGCCCGAGAAATATATGGCAAAGTGAAATATTTCGATAATAGTCAATTGCTAAGCTCAGTTTATCATCAAAATGTGTTAACCGTCACGCAATCTAGGAAAAGAAAGACATCTATCTACATTTGATGTGGTATAAATACATGTTTAGTTGTAGTGTGAATGTTGAACTCACATGTTTATATAAAGTATTTTGTAAACTTGAAATGATTTTACTGTACAAAAACAAGTTTACATATTCTACGGTATTGGAAAGAAACTCGTGATAAAAAAGACATTAAAATGATATAAGATCTTAAAGCCCATCTGTACTGGTTTGGCCAGGAGGGATTAGATATCACAGCTTGGTCACTGACAGGTGGCTATCTCATCAACTCGGCTCTGAATTTACATAAGAAAACGAGGATCATGGGGGACCAGTAGGCACCGCTTAGGCATTGTTTTCTATATAGAGGAGCAAGTAGGTACAAGTATACAGTGGGGCTTTAACTCTTCAAAACCAGAGTTGATCTGTAATTTTATATGCGACCCATCTTTTTTTCTTTTCTGGTACGAACGGTCATCTCGCCTGTTGTTTATTTGTGTATTGTGGACGGGCGCTGTGGAATCAATGAATATCTACTTTGAGAACGTAGAGGGAGTATTCTCTTCTCACTGCTAGGTCAAGTTGATTTTAATATTGCAGTACAAGACTCTTTGACGGCATGGGGTGCACAATACATTATAAGTAATTTCAAGATTTACGAAAAGAAAAACAAACAGGTAAAAAAAAGGAGAAGAAAAAAAAAGACCACTCTTTCTTGCTCTGTACATTTACAACAAAGATTTTACATTACAACACATTCAGAAACAGATTTTGTCAGTAGTTCAAGTTTATTGCCTGTGAAGTGTAATCATTTTCATGAAGAAGCATAAATTTGACCATAAAAGAGATTTCTCTCCTTTTCCATGAGTAACAATTTCAATGCAAACTTTGCTGAAGAGTTGAGCATACACAGAGTTTCATACTGCTTTGGATCCACATCTGTACTCCACAAGTTTTCTTTTTTCAGGTTTAGAAAAAAAAGTATCTGTTGAGCTTCTTCAACTTTTGCTTGAGGTTGTGACTTGCGAGTACATGCACTAATATGACCTATAGTAGCATTGGTACTGGGGCTGTGAGCATACCAAAAACAGAAGGATGACCTCTCCCCTAGTTTTAAAGCCTATCTGCACTAGTTTTGGCCAGGAGGGATTAAACCTCCCTGCATGGACACTGACAGGTGGTTATCTCATAAACTCAGCTCTCAAATAACATAAGAAAAAGAGGATCATGGGGGACCAACAGGCACCGCTAAGGCATTGTTTCAGAGGGCGCAAGTAGCTAAAAGTAGTGCAGTGGGGCTTTAAAGACATCTGACAAGATTAATCGATCTGATGCAATTCTAAATTCCTCTATAAAAGAGCAATTACATTTATAGTTGATGGCTACATTTTCACAGGATACGGAATGAAAGAGAGAAGAATGTTTTAAGGCAAGATACATGACCACAACATTGTAAAAAGTAACAAAGAACATCATCTATAAATATCTTATCTTGTATAAATACAAAGGCACTTGATTAGTCTTGATCAACAAAAACATCACAAGAGAAACAACACTAGTACACTAAATCTACAGTACTGAAAAAACCTATAATTTTTACATGTACATAACATATTTACAGCAAGCTTTGGAGCTCAGTGAGGACAACAAACCAAGTTAAAGCTTAATTAGTTTAAGTTCAAAGAGGGCTCATATTCATAAGCGCAGAGTGCTTAGTAAAGTAACCTCAATCATGGAACATATCATAGAGGGGGGGGGGGGGGGGGGTGCTTTAGGATTCTATCTTCCAACTCTGTAACAGGTAATATGGTATGGTCTTGAGAATGCAAACATAAGTCGCTACAAGGGGAGAATCACACCATTGGATATAATTTGTTTCATGGTTCTGTGCAAACCTGAAGCATTTTTTGCATAACCCATTTTAGTTTACCAGTGTACATTTTAGATGAAATGTTACATTGCCCTCTTAACACCACTGTTTCTTGCCAAAGTTATGACAATTCAAAACCAATTCGGACACATGCTTGATTGGAAATGGAATGTGTTGGAAAATTTATCCCAGATCACTTCTCTCAATCTATAATCACTGTCAACTTTTAGGGCTACTTAAAAAGCATATGTCAGTCCATACAAACATAAATCTTCAATGAGAATAGTGCTCAGCTATCCTGTTGTTAATCACAGTGTTACAAAAAGCTCAAGGAAAATCTCTGAATACATTAATATTTCTTACACTGGGGTTATTTAAGAGTAACATTTAGGTGTTAGCCTTTTCTCCAAGAGCACAAGACATGTAAGATTTTTTTTTTTTCTATAACCCTTCTGAACAATCCTTATTAAGGACGATCAGACATTTTTACATTTCTGGTACAAAAAGAAAGGCACACATTCATTCAGCTGCTGTAAAATACTATCAATACTTTCAATAAAAGTGACAAAAGTTGGTCTCTGAAAAAGATACTCTGAACATTTTTGTATGAAAGTCATTTGAATGTCGAAATGAAGGAGCTGCATCTAATGAGTGATAACAGGTGTATTTCATTTAACTGAAAAAAACCCTTTATACTCCAGTCCCTATGCAACAGTTCTAAGAACAAACTTCAAGGTGCTCCCGTTCTCAAAAGATAGCATCAAGTAGGGAGTAGTAGAAACAAAATGACTTTCATCAAATTTTATTCTCCTCAGCAGTTGCTCCCAACTCTAAACTTTCAGGGGTAGTTCATAGTTCATATCAAATGAAAGTTTTAGACGAGGAAACCTTTCAATTGTCTTGAGCCTCCTCGTTTACCTTCTCCTTTCTTCTGATAAACTTCCTAATGTTCCATTGCTCATGAGACAGCATCCAGTGAGAGTTGTACACACAGAGCACTTTCATCCTGGGGCCATACTTCAGGTCTGGTAGCAGCTACAAAACATTTTTTTTTAGAGAAAGAAAAAGGTAACAAATAAAATTCAGTTGGTGCAAGGGATTACAAAAAGTAAGAGAAAAACAACTTTATGATTGTATTTCCATGTTTTTAGTATGTATAATTTCCTTTCCACAAGAAATTTTCAAGTCTATATGATCATTTTTTTTTAAGAAGGAAAAAGGAAACAAATAAAATGCAATTGGTGCAAGGGATATCAAAATTAAGATAACAACTTTGTGATTGTATTTCCATGTTTCTAGTATGTATAATTTCAATTCCACAAGAAATTTACAAGGCCATATGATCATACCATACACTCTTTTGAGTAGATTGTTGAACAATGGAATGCACTATTTCATCGAAGCCACAGGGCAGTATCTATATCTTAATCAGGACTTTCCATAACAATTTCATTTTTCAGCATGGGTGAAGGATAGAGAAGAAAGGGAAGGTATGTGTAGTAAAGGAGAAGGAGAAGGAGGAGGAGACAACGGTGAGGAGGAAAAGAGGAGGGACAGAAAGCTGAGGATGAGGGAAAAGAAGTGATGGAAGAAGTGAAGAAACAGAGAATGAAGAAACAGAGAGGGAAAAGAATGAGAATGAGGGTAAAAGAAGAGGAAGGTGAGAAATAGGTGGAAAAGTGGAGGGACAGAAAGCTGAGGATGAGAAAAAAGGAGAGAAGGAAGAAGTGAAGAAACAGAGAGGGGGAAGAATGAATGAGGATGAGAGAAAGAGAAGAGGAAGAAGAGAAGAAACAGAGAGGGAACAGAATGAAGATGAGGGAAAGAGAAAAGGAAGAAGAAGTAAAGAAACATAGGGAAAGACGAATGAGGATGAGGCAAAAGGGAGAGGAGAAAGATGAGGAAGAGAAGGAAAAGAGAAGGGACAGATAGCCAAGGAAGAAGTAAAAGAGGAGGAAGAGGAGGTGACTATTTCATATATATATTGATCATTGCTTACCTTGGGTGTGATAAGGAAGTACTGCGATGTATTCTCCCTGCATGCTGTCTCTACCACAAACTCAAACACCTTCCTCTCATTGCTGGGATCCATACCCTGTAAAGCACACATCAATATGGATCAAAATCATTATCATTCTAGAAACAGCATATTCAATTTCCCTGTTCTCTCCCTGTATCCATCAATCTTCTATGCTGAATTGATTGAAAAGGTTTTATTATGATTGCACTTCGCAGCCAAATGGCTGAATTATGCACAATTTACATTGGCAATAATACATACCAATGTGGTTTAGAAAACAAATCAACTTTGATAAGAACAAGATGCTAGTTGAACAAAGTATGATATATATAACAGAATTCATAACTAACAAGACTTAGGCAATAACAGAAAAAAAGGTTTAAAGTCAGAGCAAAGGGGCAAAGGAGTTTAATTAAAGGCCCACTGCACTACTTGTAGCTACTTGCGCCCTCTATATAACAAACAATGCCTAATCGGTGACCATTGGTCCCCCATGATCCTCTTTTTCATATGTTAACTGAGAGCTGAGTTGATGAGATAACCACCTGTCCAGTGACCTTGAAGGGCAGTCTAATCCCTCCTGTAAACTACGGCAGATAAGCTTTAATATTTGGTGAGGTGACACAAGAGTGGGTCAAAGGATGAGCAAGCAGGCCCTTTGCTCTCACACACTCTCAGACACGATGAATGCATCATTTAACGTAGTTACAACAAAGAAACCAGGTACAGACAACAAGCTGAACCAAAGATTACATGTACATTGCACAGAATGGCAAGAATCTGGGTCAGTTTGGTGGTGTGACTGAGGCATGATGATGATGATGATTCACAGCATTTGTATGGCGCCAATATATCTGTTTCAAAAACATTCAAAGGCGCAAGCTCTCCCAATAAAATTAGCATTTAAATGTCTGAAGGAAGATGTGAGTTTTGAGTGAAGCTTTGAAGTCGTCCATAATATGATCCCCCTACCTGGTTAATCTCATCCACCACTCTGAAGGGACACTTGTTGAGCTCCTGGAGGGCCATCAGATAGAGAACGGTAGCTACACTGCACTCTCCTCCGCTCTAGTAAGTGGACAGAGATGCTCAACTAATCAACAAAGATTTAAACTAATCCTTCCTAATCCGATCCACCTACCTGGTTAATCTCATCCACCACTCTGAAGGGACACTTGTTGAGCTCCTGGAGGGCCATCAGATAGAGAACGGTAGCTACACTGCGCTCTCCTCCGCTCTGGTACGTAGAGGTCAGAAGCTGGAGCTGCTCGTTTCGACGGAACTTCACCTTGATCCTCATCTCATACTTGTCATAATCCTCCTGGATTTAAAAACAAAGTGGAATTCTTATTGGATTACAAATATGGTCTTTAAGTACAGGTGCCTATAGTACATGTTTCAATGAGAAACCGTTTTTAAGGGAAACAAAAAATGTGGCCTTTGTAGACAGGTGGTCACTATAGCAGGTTTGACTGTATATCAATACATGAACAAGAACAAGACATGAATGTTGCATTCATCATTTTTCCTTTTTTCTTTTTCTCAGAATTGTTGATGGCAATTAATAAGCCCTGATGATTTAGATGAAAAGAACTTCACAATGGGACAATCTTTTGAAGTTACTATCCACAAATGTAATTCTTCAAAAAGAGGAAAGTAGTGAAAAACACATGACAATAGTTTTAACATAGCATTTCAATAGAAAGACAACTAATTACATATGATTTTGACTCTAGGGCCCCCGTTTCACAAAACTTGTCATCAGTGACAAATAACAGTCTTTGTTATCAGCTACTGAAATCCTTGCTTCTGATTGGTTATCAGCAGATTTGTCACTGATTTTTGTCATTTGTCATTAAAAAAGGGCTTCATGAAATAGGTCCCTGTTGTGTCTTATCATGGTAAACAGGACTATGAGTAGAATATTTCCTATTAGGGCAGTTTATAAGAGCTAAATAAAGGCATTGCTTAAGAAGACTCTTTACGGGAGTTACATGCAGCAATGGCTTACCCAAACAATATTCACAGAAGTTTAACAAAGCAATGAATTTAAAGACGATCTTCATCAAGAACATTTTAGAGAGTGGTCAAATAGCAATGGTCTAATCCAATATTATTATTATTATTATTATTAATACTATTATTACTTATACCGTGCTTTTCCCATAAGGCCCAAAGCACTTACAGTGAATACTTACAGTGAATGAAAATCAAATCTTACAACTACAAACTACAAACTTTCTGAAGGTAATAACTGATACAGACTACCTAATTCTAAGTGTATTCCAGTATTTTGAAGCAGATACAGTAACTGTCCTATTAGCAGCTAATGTGTGGGTAACTGAATATGTGAAACGGAGAGGATCACTGGCTGACCTCAATGCCCTGGCAGGTGTATCTAAATTCAAACAGGTATCTTAATATTATGGAGCTTGATTATTGAGTATTTTGAATACAAACAAGAGTAATTAAAAAATTATTCTTTGTCTCAAGAGTGGCCGAGATGGATGGTCCCTAGAAACCTGAAATACCAATCGGGCTGCCCAGTTTTGTAGCCGTAGCACACGATCCAATTTAGCCGAGGGAATGGTAGAGAGAAGCCCATTACAATGATCAATACGGGATAGAACTAGAGAACGCCTAGCATTATGACAGGCAGACTGGTCAATAAACCTTCTGATTCTAGAAATATTCCAATACAGTACCTCATTTGGGCAGAAGAGATCGACTTCACCAGCACAGCCCATGGTAGAGAAGAACTTTGAGAACTTGGAGTTGATCTTTCCCACCAGTCCGGTAAGCTCCCCCAACCATGTCTCCTTCAGATTGTCTATCCGGGCTTTATGATTACTAACCTCTTCTTCCTCCTTAAGAACCTGAAAACAAAATGGAAATGAAGGAATTAGAGGTATGCGATGACGCACTTGGTAGATCTCGGGGATGTTTCACAAAGACTAAGATCGACTCTAAATTGGACTTGGCTATGGCAGGTAGTTCATGCTACTGTTTGCTCTAACCATTTACTGGCATTGGTCTCTGAAGGGACTTATAAATTGTGGTCACAAATCTACAGAATTTACATATTTTGATAGTTCATTATTGAAGGAAAAATATTATCTAAAGATCATAATGGAGAGACCAATAGTGAGAGCAACTAGTGGCATGAAGGGCCTGTCATAGTTAAGTCCAACTTAAAGTCGATCTTAGTCTTTGTGAAACACCCCCCTGGGGTCTTTGAAGCAGGAGCTCTAGAGTTTGACCAAGTGTACTTTCTTGAATCATTATCAAGTCCCTCATGTAGGACTAACAAACATACATTCCATGACCTGTACGCAGATATTATTCAAAGCACCAACAAGAAACTGTAATTCATATGTTGTTTCACAATTTTTTTTAAACAGGAGATTCAAAGATTTCTCATGTTGTATAAACACGTCTTGCAGTTAACTCCAGTAGAACATGTTTTCAGGGAAATCCCCCTTGTTGTGGTCTAGTGGAAACGTCACTGAACCATGAATCACATGACTTGAGTCCTGCCGTGACATTAACATCCTTTGGCAAGACATTAATCTACATTTGCCACCCTCCACCCTGGTGTAGTAAATGGGTACTTGGTAGGAAGCAATTCCTTTAATACTTGAGTACCTTATCATGGCAGTGCGCTAATGCTGGGGTTATAATACGATTGCAGTGCCCTCAGGGAGAACTGAGAATGCAACCTTGGCTGAACATGATATGTTATCAAGTAATATTTATTTAGATTTCATTTGCTTTGTAAATCTGCAAGTAATAAGTTGTTCTGAGACTTAAAGTCAAAAACAGTCAAACCTGCTTTAGTGACCACCTGTCAACAAAGACCTATTGCCTGCAAAGACCACATTTTTGGAATCCCTTGAAGTAGGTTTCTCATTGAAACATGTACTAAAGGAACCTGTCTACAAAGACTTTTTGTGTTTCCCTTAAAGTAGGTTTCTCATTGAAACATGTACAAAAGGAACCTGTCTACAAAGACTTTTTGTGTTTCCCTTGAAGTAGGTTTCTCATTGAAACATGTACGAAAGGAACCTGTCTACAAAGACTTTTTGTGTTTCCCTTGAAGTAGGTTTCTCATTGAAACATCTACTAAAGGAACCTGTCTACAAAGACTTTTTGTGTTTCCCTTGGGCGGTCGCTATAGACAGGTTTGACGGTATAGGTAGGGAATTCCACTTACCTCAGCTTCAACAATTCTTATCTCCTTCTTTCTCTTTTCATAATCCCTGACCACTCCCTCATCTGTAGGGAACTGACAATCAGCCTGTGCCTTCTCCTTGTATATCAGATCTTCCACCTCCTCAATATCATTAGGGTACTGCTCAAACGACTGTACAACAACAACAAATAATAAAAGTGGTTACGTTAAAGTGGAAGTCCACCCTGATGATAAGTTGGCAGAGCTGCCAACCTTGTACAACTCAAAAAAAGGAACCATAATGGCAAAAAAAGGGATTTCAAGCAAAAATAAGGAATTCATTAAAACGAAACTTACAACCACGCGCGACAAACTTCCAAAGCAAAAATGTCCATTCCTCATGCTGTTTTTTTTCTCCATATTAGGACCTATAGTTCATTTACAATTAGGTATTTTGTTGTTATTTTCGTATTATCAGCATTTCATTCTTTTTTTAGAATACTTTTCTCTTGAAGTAGATTACAACGATAGTTTTCTATTGAATTTGTGATCAAAATAACATTTTAGGGTAGTTGTTTGACGTACGGTATGTAAAAAAAAGAAAAATTTGGAGGAAAAAACAGAGTAATTCCAGCAAAAACAGAATGGTTGGCAGCTTTGAGTTGGGTTCAATAGAAACAGAAATATGAGGGGAACAAGTCAGTGAAAGATTGAGTAAAATCTGATTAAAAATAAGGAAGTTGTGATCAATCAAACACAAATTGGCAACTCTTGGAAGTAACTTTAACAAGATCCCCTCCCATTTGCTCTTCAAACTTAATAGCATCATTATGATACTGCTTAACAAATGAATCGCACAAAATAATGTATGAGATAGCGTTGAGACTAGCAAGGGTTTGATACAACTCTCATCACATAAAATGAAAAAACAGCTCCAATAACAATTTTGAAAATAGGAATAATTTAAGACAAGAGATAAATACATCATTAGGCATACCATACATCTGATCAAACTTGAAATTCTATCATTTTAACTCCATTCTTCTTTAATTGTTGCTTTTTCTGTTTAATATGAAACATAACATGATTAATGGGTAAAATGCACTTCCACTACACTAATAGCAAACTCACTTTCTTGAGCTGATCAGATGGTTTATCACTGCCTGTCTTGTCCCTCGCTAGAGCTAATAACTGCTTAGCATCCTTCTTCACTTGGTCAGTCTCAACGGTCAATTCTTGGCATAAGTTCTGTAAAGTTAAACAAACAAACAAGTTTTTCCAAAATCATTTAAGTCACATCAACCTTAACCCTGTTGCCTAGTTAATTCTTTCATTCCCCTAGGCTTCAAACACGAACCACCCATGTCCTGCAGGCAACGGGTTAACATCACTATCCCAAGCTGTGACCTTGAGGTTTTCACTTTGTTAAGTTGAAGAATGTAAGATTCATTTGGAATACATTTAATAACTTCTCTTTGAATGCTATTCTTAATATAATCCTGTGAATATAATCAGATTTTTTAATTTTTAAAAGATCGTGCCACAAAATTATTTTAGACCACAACAACTGCCAATGTGGCAACTGACATTCTAGAACACCTACATGTAATTACACCCAGACTCAAGAATCATTAATGACACTGAATAGCACAAGGTAGGCATATATACTAAGTAGTAAGATGAAACTAGGAAAACACAAGAAGGTATCCCTGATGCATCGATCTAGTAAATCATAACATATAAGCAATTAAAAGAGATTATAAGATGATGAAGCGGTTCCTAATCAAATGATTGATTGAGAGCGTACACGTGACCAGGCATTTATTTTGCCTAACACATAATTTTACTAATGACCGGTCATTAGCAAATATTATATCCCTTATCGTAAGATTGTTGCATTAGGTGTGTTCACAACAAGAAAAAGAATAGTTTCACTGTAAAAGACGTTTCCTGCCGACTAGATCGGAATAGTTCAATTTTAATTGATGACGTCACGCATAGTACCTTTTTTCCCTTGGGAAAAAAGGTACTATGCGCGACGTCACAACAAAAAAAAACCGCATATTCCTGAACTATGCGTTTTCCCAGCGAGCGCGTACATGATTTCAAATGCCTCCGCGCGGTCAACTCCCGCGGTGTCAAGGCGCTCAAGCCATATGTAATTTACTCTGTGCGATAACTGCACTACACTAGCGCAAGCTAAACATATTTGCATCCTCCAATGTTTTATTTGAGCCGTGCAATTTTCTTTACTTCTTTTCGATCTGAATGTAGATGTGAATGTGAGTATAAGGTTCATGTATTACAGAAGTGTACAAGGAATAATACAGATGGAAGGGATATAAAACAAATATAAAATGACTCATTCTCGGAACAAGCTAAAACTATTTGCACTCAGGAACATCTTTAGCACTTTACTCATAGTATAGTACTAGCTGATGTTCCTTCGATGCGAATAGTTTCAGCTAGATCCTCGAGTGTCATTGTATATTTGTATACTAATGACCAATCATTAGTAGAATCATGTTATAAAACATCATTTCATGAAACAAATATAACATCTTATAAAACAAATAATACACATCATTTTGTTCGGGCATTAGTAAAATTACCCACATTCGGTACCTTTGAAACAGTCCAAACATCCTCGGCTATCGCCTCGGGTGTGTTAGACTGCTCCAAAAGTACCTTGTGTGGATAATCCTTACTTATGCCCTCACTGTTGTGTATTATTTGTATAATACATACCTCTTGGATACCGATCTCATTCTTTGTTTCGCTGATGTTCTCCTCACATTGTTTCTTGGCCTTCTCTGCTGCTACCTGCTGGAGACTCAATGTAACTCTCTGCATGGACTTTTCCAGGCATACCTGATAAAGAGGGAGGGTGGGAAGGAAAGAGAGAGAGAGAGGGAAGGGAGAGGGGGGGGGGGGATGAGGATTAGGAAGGGGATGGATGAGATTGACAAGAAAATTCTCCTTGCAAAAGCCTACATACTTTTAATTTAATACATTAAGAATGTGTAATATGGTAATTTTCAATTATGTGCATATAATATAATATGACATTACAGTATTCTAGTATTTGTCCATGATAATGCAGTGACAAACTGCAGTGACCTGAGTCACAGAATTACGAACAGATGATAGCCACACAATTGATGAAAGATATATATGCATGTATTTGGCAGAATACGTTTGACTTGATGGAAAAATGTGACATCCAACTTCTTGTAAGAAATACTCTACAGAACATCATTTACATTTCCATAAATAGGACAAAGAACATCTGAGCATAAAAAAGAGCAAATGAGCACACACAAAACCTTGTTTCCTCATTGATAGAATGCAGAATGGTATCTCGGAAAAGCAAACAATGAAGATGATTACCTTGTTGAAGTCATGGATCTTCTTGAGTATGGTGAGCTTCTTTCTATTGATTTGTTGGATCTTCTGTTCTACTTTCCTCTTCTCAGCTTCCAAGTCGATTTTCATACTCTCCTTTTTCTTGATCCTGTAATAATTACAAAGGAAGGAAGAGTTCTTGTAAAGATGAACATTAGCTTCTGAGCTTTGTCATTCTTTTAGGGTGTAAGACACATGCTCATGCAAACATTGCTACACTGTCTATTTCATGCACTAACTGAATTCCAAGGTTCTTTTGGACCAAACAATGTACCTAACTCTTACCTTAACCCTAAACCTAATCTAAAAACCAAGTGTATCTCCTAAAGCCTAGAGCAATTTTCATCAGAGCAAACTTAATTTTTATTCCCAAGTGAATGTGTACATTAAAGGCATTGATTGACTTTTTTCCAGTTTTACAAATCTGAGATGCATAGCCCTACTTACATGTATTATCAGTGTCTGTGATATGGTGTAATATTGAAGCCCTAAAAAAATTGCGCTTCAAAATGATCATGAAGTGCTTCAAAAAAGTAAGAAATCTTTAAGTGACCAGTTTTACCATACTCATTTTCTTTAAAAGACTGAAGTGTTATAAAAACCATTGGGAAAATCGATTTGAAATTTCTAATTCCAATCATATTTATTGATATTCAGACAGGCGATCGGCTTGTAGAAGTCAAGGGATTCCTTACTGACCTAAAGGTTAATAATTATGATTGAGCTAATAAAAATAATAATGAGCTAAATCCAGGATTTTTTTTAGAATCTGAGACAAAGATACCCAATCCCTTTAATGTCTTGGGAAAGGGACATTAGTGAGTACATGCACTAATAGAATAACAAATATATACCCGGTAACCACCCCCCCCCCCCCCAGTTAGGACAGATCAATTAAGAAAAGACTCACTTATCAGTTGTAGCTTTGATGTTTTGGATGATAGTTCTTCTCTGATTCATTCTCTTCTTGAGTTGTGCTCTAGCCTCCTTGATCTGCTCCAGCTTAGCATCCAAACTCTTATGTTGTCTTTCTAACTTGGCATACTCCTGCTCCAGTTCTTGCACATAATGCTCTTTTTCCTTTAAAGTACACATGTGGTGAAAATTGTTAAAGCACATTCAAGATGACTTTGTCTCATTTCAAGTTTAAGTTCAAATTCAAGTTCAAATGTATTGATCATGTACAATTACGTCGCATAAAAATAATTTTCCGGCTGTTTCTCAATTTATATAACATCAATTAACAGATATGTACTATCAATTTATACAAAATACAAAATCAGGAATAAATACAATACACAATCGAACATGAGTACAAAATGGTATAGGCTTTGATATAGTAACATAATACCACAAATTACCATCGTAGACATACCAGAAATCACTACTGGGGTTATAATTATGAATAGGCAGATTGACAATTACCTCCTGAACCTGTTATTGTTCAGTGTCATGGCACATATGAGAAATGACCCCCTAAATCTATTTGTTTCTTTCATTGTAATCAATGGTAGGAGTATCAGGGTATTGTGGTTCTATCACTGGACTCTTAATCAATAGGTTCAGGTTTTGAATATAAGCTCAGTGCATATGTTTTAGACAAGGCATTTCATTTCACAGTTGACTCTCTAGACTCCAGTGTTGTGTGCAAACCAAAAATAATTTATTCTTTTAAATGCACTTCTAGAAAGCTTACATCTAGTTGTCACACAGCTGTGGATGGTTTGGTAACAGGCAGGTCTTCACTTATGAAGGAATCTGCAATGAAATTGTAAATCACCTGAATTAACTTTTCAAGATCCCTCTTCTCCTGCATATCATCCATAGTCTGACCGAGTATCTTGGCCGGTGGAACCTGACTGCTCAATGATGACTTGTTCTTGTTTCCATAGCGACTCTGCTTGATGGTGTACTGGTACTTGGGTGTGTAGAACTTGTTCACTTGAGCATGTTGGATCACCTGTAGGGAGATGGTAATGCAGTAATCTCTAGTGATGTATGAGATTAAATCACACCAGCTAATCCACTTGAACAAGAATTAGATCAATAGAATTTACAACAGTCATTCCTTGGCAGTATTAAGGATGGTAATAATAATAATACTAGCGCTTTTCCAGACCGAAGGCCCTCTCAAAGCGCTTTACAGATATATATTATCATTGACATATATATTATAAGGTATTGACAAAGAAAGCTGGTTGAACATTTGTCTGGAATTAATTCTTCCTAAATTACCTAGGTAGTCATAAGCTGTAGCCCCTACTCCCTTCAAAAATATAATACTTGTAAGATATCAATCACAATTAAATATGAATTACATTGCAATAATGTACCAAAGGGATATAGGGCAGGGAATTTACCTGCTCTATATCCCTTTGGTACAGTAAGTAAGTTTGTGAATGATTGGAGGACTTGTTACCAATCTGGACCAATTGCAACTCTTCGTAACATAAGGGAGAGTACTCCACAAAAAAACCCAGATGCAATAAGGTACATTCCTGGTATTCTGCAAGAACAAATGATGTAATACCCAGTCAGAATGACAGGCTCAACACTAGTAGAAAGTAGAATGAACGTAAAAATTACAACATCGAAAAGCCAAGAAACAGGCAGTTTTTTTAGTCAATTAGAAGTTGGTTTGGCAGTGCGGTTGAGGTATAAATTTGTTCTGGCATTCATCTATCCTGTATCTGACCTTGTCAACATTACGTTCTGACCTTGTCAACATTACGTTCTGTGTTCTCATCTCCGAGAGGAATGTTATGAAGCTTATGAAGCTTGCAGAGGTAGGCCATCACGGCATTGGGTGCAGTCACAAGGTCCTTCAGGTATGCATAGAATCCAAATCTGAAATACAGATTCATGGGTTGAAATACTTCAACATATTTCCGATTTAAAGCCCCTCTGCACTACTTATAGTTACTTGCGCCCTCTATAAAGCAAACAATGCCTAATTGGTGACTGTTGGTCCCCCATGATCCTCTTTTTCTTACGTTAATTGAGAGCTACTTGATGAGATAACCAACTGTCAGTGACCTTGCAGGGAGGTCTAATCCCCCTTGGCCAATTTAGTACAGACGGGCTTTAATTCAATAGTAACAAAAACATTATGTTACTTACTGATATGGTCACAATTCAAGAGGAAAATAGTCAGTGCTATAGAACACATAGAGGGAAGCTTGGCTCCAGCAGTTACAAAATGAAATATTTTGCAGTCTACAAACTGAAATTTTATGAAACACACTACATTTGTAAACTTAACAATCGTTATCAGACATTATACCATGGGTGTAATAACCGTTAACCTTGAATTACTGAAAAAGATTATGATCAAAATTGAGTTCAATGAGCTCACTAACTTTTAGCAAAAACAGAACTTGCACATTCATGTAAGTGACCATTTTGCCATAACAAAATTAGTCTAAAGGGCCATTTAGTCTAAAATTCTGACTTTAAATATTTTATTAATTAATATCTTGTACCAATAAAAAAAAAAGCCTTCAGTAATCCAAATGAATGAGTACATGTGTAGCATTACATACCCTAATTGCTGAATAGGTCTTTGGGCAGTGTAACTCTCAGAAGGATCTGCAGGACTCTTCACTACGCTCACTCTCAGGTTCTGTCCTTCACGAATCTACAGGAAACAGCACAAATATCCTTCATCAAATCCTAAATTAAATCCTTAATAAGATAGCTTTGTTCCATTTGTGGGTATGATACAAGTCAGATGAAATATGGAAAAAAAAATCAAGAGGGGGGGGGGGAATATCTTCAAGGGTAACAATCTTTTTTGAGGACAATTTTTTTTTTTTTTTTCACTTAAGTGGGCATCATATCTGACTCAGTATTCGATTAGCTAAACATTGTCATATAGAGATTTAAGCCGTGAAGCCAACGAGTAAGGAACCTTAAAGGGTATTGAAAAGATGCATCCAGAATGCAAAAGGCATTAGTAGTTAGTGATATTTGCTCATTAGAAGTTTATTTTAATATATCTGAATGTAAGTGTAGGTAACACTTTGAGATAGTACATGACAATAATGAATTTTGCATTTCGGACACATATTTTTTTGTGCCACTACAATTCGCTAAGCTACCTATTAAGGCATTGTAACAAAAATGCTTTTGTGGTCTCTGGGTAATTCAAGACATGCTATGCACTTGAAATTAAATGTTGAGAGCGAGCACCTGACTAAGGGAAAGGGCAAGCCAAAAAAACAAACAAATTCAAGCCACATTAGGGGGTGCAAGCAGCACAGGATAAACTTTGTCCTACCTCATTAATGAACTTATCCTGATCCTGGGAGTCCTCGCACACAAAAGCCAGCATGTCCTGAAACGGGATGGATCTCTCTATGAACTTAGCATGGTCTTTGTTCTCTATGTTCAGCTGAGGAGGAAGGAAAAATTAAGACATTTAGCTTGTATTAGGCCATTAAAAAACAAAAAACATGTTTAGCCTGCCTTTTCGGAAAATAGGAAGGAGCAGGCACTTTTTTTTTCTTCTTCAAAATGGCTGCTCGGTACATTTTCCCTGACAGTTTGGCTACTTTTAAAGATGGCCGACAGCTTTTTAAAAATTTTGTTTAAACTTTGCAAAAAGATCATTTTAGCAGTATGTTTTTCATTTTTCTTTGTAAAAAAAATATTTAAAAAACAGACGACCCCCAAAAAGGAAGCGGGTGGGGACGCTCCACACGACTAAAAAAAAAAAGGCCTTACATGTACGTTTCATTATACAGAAATTGTGAAAAATGCAGGTGATATCCTCTGAAGCCCATAAGACAATGTAAGATCTAAATGAGATCCAATTTGGAAGAAATCACAATAAGGGATACAACTATGGAAACATGTTGTTCTGACAGAAGCTACTAATAGTCATATGAATAGTAACATTGAAATGGAAAGGTGCGTTAGCCCTGCTTAAATTCAAGGACAATCTTGCCATTGATCTGGGCCCTGGTTCATAAAACTTGTTATCAATAACAAGTTACAATAACCTTTATAAGCTACTGAAATCGTGCCATTTGATTGGCTTAGAGAAAATTTGCCACAGAAATTTAGTATTTGTTATTGATAAGAAGTTTTATGAAACAGGGCCCTGGTGTCACTCCCTAATGTAGCAAATCAGAGCCTTCTTTTGAAAGGTCCTGAATGCCCTACAATCATGATTTTACTATTTATTTACACAAGTACTAGAAAAAAAATTGTACGATTTGCTTTCTCAAGACTTGCAAAATGGCAGGTTCATACAAAAGTGGGTACAGTGTGCCGTGGGCTTCAGACAACGACTGATAAAAACTTAATTGTATTTACATTTTCATTTTTCATTATCATGTTATTGTTATACATTGTTAGTTAAGTAATTCGTCCAAATTAAGCGCATTGTTCATTTCATGTTTCTTGTTGATCCTTATTACATATTTAGTTTAACCGTACTTTTCATTTCACTTGTTTTATAAAGCGCTTAGAAACTGTATTTGTATACCAGTGCTATATGAATCTTAAATATTATTATTTTATCATTATTTTGTAGAGTCAAACTTCCCTTTAGTGGATATGATAACGATGGTCGAGTAGAGAGACATTGTTGAAGGAACTTACCACAAGTGCAATGGGTTCGTGTATGGTCTTCTTGAACTTGTCTGCATTGGAACGAAGCCAAAGGACAGCGTTGTAAGTGTCGGGTGACCTGGTTTTAAGGGCTCGTAGTCTCTGATCGCGGCGATCGTTCAACCTCTTCAGACGATCCTGATATCCTGGAAAATAGAGAAAAGTGTCATTACTATCACAATATACCACCATCAGAGAAATTTGAACAATTTTTCATTAAAAAACTTCCATATTCATCAATAATGAAAACAAAATAGAACATTTATTCTCATAATGTCTGCCATCAGTCACATCTTTATTTCTATCATTCACATGCCCACTTCCTAACTATCATTTTATCACATTGTGAATGCAACTCATACAAAAATTATCCCTGCATAAGATGACTCTTCCGAACCCTCATTTTAGAAATATGACAAGAATTAGTTAAAGTTTTTGCACCAAACTTTCATACCACATATGTGTGTGTGTGTGTATGTGTATGTGTACAGTCCCACATGAGCATTTCTGTGGACAGTACGTGTGACTTTTTAGCAAGACTGAGTCAACTGCTATCATATTGATGATTACAAAACCTCACAGTATATACCTTGTACGCTCCATAATAAACCTTATACAATTGCTCCCACTTTATCTTTAAACATTTGTCATCAGTCCATTCGGTAGCTATTAGTTTGTACTTTTTAACTCCCAATAAATATCTTTTGGCATCCTGCAAGGATCATATTTCCTGTCACTGATAAGAAGTTTTAACCCTATTTCTACAGCATGTTACTGGCTGGCTACACGCACACTGGCCATGGAACGTTCATCTTCCATTGCTGAGGTGCTGTAGAAATAGGGTTAAAAGATTATCTGTAACTATTTATCACTATCACTTCTTGTTACCTCTGATTTCTTTCTTCAGAGCTGATCTCTCTTCTGCAAGGGTGCTGCACTTGCCCTCAATGGTGGTCTTTTCTTGGGAAACCCTGTTGATCTCTCCGATATTTTCTTCCAGTTGGGGCTAGAAATAGATGAAACGACACAATAAAAGATGGTTCCTCTACACAAAGAACTGGGGGGGGGGGGGGGTGTGTTTCACAAAGATCCTAATTAAACTTATCTCTATTATGGAAAGCCGTTAGCATCTTTGAAACTATTTTGTAAAACTTATGTTAAAAGCATAAAATGTTGATTCAAATCATTCATTTTTTTTTTTTTTTTATCAAGGAGATTTCATGTTCTCGATATGGAATTTATGAAAAGTCTAAAATACTTGAATTTTGGCTTTCCATAATGTTTAAGTCCAACTTAGAGTTAAGTTCAAATTAGGATCTTTGTGAAACACCCCCTGGATCATTAACATGAAGGAATCGAACCATCTCAATCAAATGTTTAGAAAAATGAGCACCACATAAATCTAAGGAAGACACAATTAATGGAAAGATTATTAGTGGCCTCGAAATCTTTATTTTATTCCCTCAAGTTGCATGATCTTGGGTATTCGGATACCTATATATGACCTTTCCAATTCTGGTTACTTCTGCAGATCTGCCAATTGCTGTCAACACAGTGGAATAGTATGATTACAAACCTGGTACATAAATGAGCATGCATTATGTCAACAGATCAGTTCGGGTCAAGTGATTACATTGTGAAAGAGGCGTGGCAGCCATTACCAGCACACAGTGCATTTCAAGGAAACCTGGGTGGAGTGTGGCATATGTAGATTAACATCCACTCTTGTTACACATACATCTCAAAATGTAGGTACCGATATATTCCTAGGATTCAAAGATATCTGACTCACTCTGATATCTTCATCTGGTTCAAGCTGATCCAATTCTCTCTCATATCCTGCCACCTGTTCTTTCCCATCATGAATCCTATGAGGACACCACAAGAAAGGAAGGACAAATAGATTTTCATCAATGATCAAATACAGGGAAATAATAATAATAATAATAATAACCTAGACTTATAGTGGACATTAACATTTGATTTCTTTGTATCTATGGAAAACCATGAGGGCTTTAGCTATGTATTAGACTTCCATACTTGCCAACATCTGAAAATAAGAAATAGGAATTTTAAGCACGGTATGCCTTTGAAAATAAGAAATATGTACCCTTAACAGGCGTTCGCACTTGCAGCAGCAGTGTTAACTGGCAAATACGCTGTAAATTTGTACAAAAAGCGAATACAAATTTGCTGCTCGATCATGCAGCTATTGAACGCACTCAAAACGTGAACTCTCAAATCGCGGCACATGATAAAACAAGCTTAATTTGGCATAAGCACAAAATTCTTTTTTATTGTTGAAAAAAACAGAATATTCCAGATTTGTAGGTCCTAAAAATCCAGAAAAACAGGATTTTCTGGATTATTCGTAAGGGTTGGCAGGTATGCACTTCTTAGCATAAAGGGCTTTTTGTGCAAAAGCAAAGCAGGGCATAGGCACGTATGATGCTCCATAAAAGGCAGGCACAATATCCAAATTGAGTATAAATTTATGAGCAGATATGCTTTTTACAGTTTAAAAAAGATAAAAGTTGGGAATCCAATGATGAGAATCTACCACAGACTTCTTCGGTTGAACAACTATCTTTAGAATAATATGCCCTTATTATCAAAGGTGATTTAAGTTGATCGTGTGAGTTGTCATAGTCCTAGCTCATATTTTGAGTATGTTTTCTTACGCTTTGAGTCTCTTTTGCTCCTGTGTCCTCTTGTCCCGTAGTTCCTCATGGAGTTCCGCTATGAGGCCTTTCTGTTCACCCAGCTCGTCTCTCTTGGTCTTGATCAATTTCTCCTGTTCAGTAATACCTGCAGACTTCAAAGAAATAAAACATCACAGTATCAGAACCATTCTACTTCAAACTGTGGTTACAATAAGTCTCATTACAATCAATGTCATAGGTACATGTACATGTACATCATCCAAAATGTTTAAATACAATCAAGACAAAATTTTGGAGGCATATTTCAATCAAATACGTATATGCATGCTCTCCAGATAACACCACTAAAGAGCTTGCCAGAGGCTTTTCCAACATAGCAACAATAAAGGTTTACGCCCTTCTGGCTTGCGGTAGATGATATAGCATATTTACTAGATTTTTCTTTTGTTGGTCTAGCTGTTTCGAGGTTTTGACAGCCGCCTGTAGCTCCCTTTCCAGCGGATCCGCACGACGTTTCATCTGTGCAAGCGCCTCCTCTGCTTTCTTCTTCTCCATCTTCACTTTATTGAAGAGAACCCTCTTGTCGTCATATTGCTGAAGATTAAGAAACAAATTCAAAACACATTCAAATAACAGTCTCCTAAATCTTAAAATTTGAGTCATAAGGAAATGACTCAAACTATCTGTATATTCAATGATGTACACTCAGACACAATACATCTAATGTTACAGAAAACAAGAGCTTCCTCTTTTCTAAAGCTAACACCTTTTTTTGTAAACATTCAATAATTCTCCTCACGCTTCAGTTTCGCGTATGTTGCACGCACGTGTATACTGCGGATGCGTCGTCCGTAGTTGTATTATACCCTATTGGCCCCAAGTCAGGCCACCGAAAAGACTCATGGCCTTTTCATTCTACACCCCCTTTAAAAATTGATAGTCAGTGTGACATTATAAGAGTGTATGGCACAGAAATCTCACCATCCAGACTTTCTTCTTCTCCAAGGTTTCGATTGTTTCCAGAGTCTTCTGTCTCTCCTTGAAGCGCCTTACATCCCTCTCTACACGTTCATTCTGCTGCTTTAGCTTCTCCAGATGATCCGACTTGTCTTTCAGATGTTGGTGCAGCTCCTTCTCCGTGTTGCGACAAGCCTTCAGGGTCTGGTGATCGTCGTACAGACCTTGTGAACCGATCTTGTTACAACAACAAAGGATCATATTTAAGGATTAATCACTCGCACTGAACCCTTATTAAAAGGCATTGTTTAACAATGCCAAATCTGAGTTGCATAGCCGTATGTGTTATCAGTATATGTGATATAAAGCTCTAGAAAAATTGGACTTCAAAATAATCATGAAGTGCCTCAAATAAGTAAAAATCTTTGAGTGACCGGATTTACCATACTCGTTTTCCCTGTTAGACTGTGGTGTTATAAAAAACATTGGGAAATTGGTTTTTGAAATTTTGAATTCCAATCATAAATATCTTAATAATCAGACGGGCGATCGGCTTGTAAACGTCATGGGGTTCCTGACTGACCTAAAGCCTAAAGGTTTATAATTATCATTGCAGCATGAGCTAAATTCAGGAATTTGTTTAGAATATGAGACAAAGATACCCAATCCCATTAAAATGGTGACCCAACATTTGCTCTTGCGACAATTGCTCATGGCTTGATATTTTCAGAGCTACAAGGTTAGCGTTCAGGTTGCAATTGGGTTTTAGGTTAGGTTTAAGATTAGCGCTAGGGTTAGGTAACTTAGGTTTAGTTTTGGATCCAAGGTTGAAGTCGGATAGTGTAGGGAATTGATGCAGGGCAATTGTCACATGAGCAAGTGTTGTACATGTATAACCTTGAAAACCACCCCTCCAGTTTAATACCATTAAGGATAAAGGATGATTCATCTGATATATCTGCCAGTGGGTACTAGTCATAGGAAGTTTACTTGGTTTTCCAAACCACTTACTAACTAGAACTACCATTAGACACATGATGATAAAAAAGTATTTAGAGGACATGGGCCAGTAGATACATATACATGTATAACTAAAGATTTGTAAATAGTAATACAAAAATAGAGGGACTTTGTTTAAAGCTGGGTCATACTAAGTTCATGCAATCATGGACATTTTGAAAGGTTGGATGAGGGAAAAACAAAAATTGAAATAAACTTACAGATTCTTCAGTTCGTTCCAGTAGCTCGATGTTATTCATGTGTGAGAACTCAACGACCTTCTCCTGTTAAAAACAATAAAAGAGGAAAAATTACCAGCAAGTTTTACGCTTGAAACAAAGAGAAAATGACATCTTAATTTCAATCAAGAAAATGATAAGCACATATTCATTTAACCACATGTGGCTGAGTGGTAGAGGAGTCTTGCAACCAGGAGGATTCCAGTTCACAACCATGGGAAAAAAGCCCTTTGGTAAAGTTTAATCCTCAAATATCTAGTCCTTAAAATCCATAGGTCAACTGGTTACTTACATGTATCTCCAAGCATATATCCCCCCCCCCCCCCACCGAGTCACAAAATAATACATTCCTGGTTAGTCACCACCCATCAATCAGTCTGATTTGTTAACTACAATCATTTGTAGAGGACCATGCAGTTTGGAGAGGATGAACATCACAAATTCATATCATAAACTAAAGAAATACATTTTGAACCAGTGTATACATTATCCCATAATACGCCCCCCCCCCCTCCCTCCCCCACGACAGTGGCATTAAATATGCAATAGCACATAATACTATAATCTCATAATTACACAGAATATAAAATCTACAAACCTGGGGGAGAAACTGACAAAGATTGGTGATCTGTATGTTCTGCTCACGAACAAACTGTGTCACTTCCCTGTTCTTTATCGGTAGGTTGTTCCTGATGAAAACGGAGCGGTTTCCCTGTCGCGTGATCTCCCGTCTGAGAACATCATTCTTCCGGTTTCCATATTTGTCAACGTGTGTGTTATACAACTCCAGCTCAATGACTGCCTTGTTTGTTCCTCTCTTCACAAACTCACCAATCTGCATGGATTGAAGTTTGAAACAATGACATTTTTAAGTTTAGGGAGATGACACTGCATTGGCTTATAGCAAAATCACAGCCCAGTAGAAGAGCATGGGGATAAGTTTCTTGAGACCGTCATACCTCACTCACTCAGCAAAAACAACTCAAAACAGACTTCAAGCCAATATCTTTTTGACAATATGGATACATTGGTGTTTGTCTTGTGTCATTCTAGTGTTGGTTTCGATGGAATGACTTACAATGTAGGTATCATCCCATAGGGATGTTTGTGAAAGCATTAATACACATTTCAATGAGATTTCCATAATTGACTTTATTGATGTTTGGAGAAACTGGCACTTACAGAAATAAAAATAAAAATGATCACAAAGAAGTTTGAACCATTGCTAAGAAATATAGCAATTCTCATGATAAAAAAACTGTTGCGTGTGTAGTCAGTGCTAGCTCGTTGTTTTCACCTAAATGTGCAACTCTAGAAGTTTTAGTATTAAAGCCTGTCTGCAATAGTTTGGCAAGGAGGGATTAGACCTCCCAGCATGATCACTGACAGGCGGTTATCTCATCAACTCAGCTTTCAATTAACATAAGAAAAAGAGGATCATGGGGGACCAACGGGCACCGCTTAGGCGATGTTTTTTATATAGAGGGAGCAAGTACATGTAGCTACAAGTAGTGCTGTGGGGCTTTAATTCATTGTGATGCAGATGGGTAATAAAGAAGAGAGATGAAAAGAGAGATACAGACAGAGAGACAGAAACTAAACTCAAACCTTTAATCAATATGAATAGCAGGACTCACCTCCTTGGCTCTACCCAGTAGATTAGTGCTGCCGTTAAGACCTAGGCACATGGCACACACCACGGTGGATTTACCGGTACCATTAGGGCCCATGATCATGTTCAGATGGGGACCAGGAAACACCTCACAGCAGTCGTATGTCCTTTGGTTGGAACAGAAAAAGAAAAGTTACAATTTACACAGAGATGTCATGTAGCGTGAAATAAAGGAAGATGGGAGAGGCAGAAGATTAATAAAGAAGAGAGATGGAGAGAGAAAAAGAAGAGAGATGGAGAGAGAAAAAAAGAGAGAGAGAGAGAGAGAGAGAGAAAGAGAGAGTCAGTCAGTGACTCAGAGAGGGACTGCATGATTTTAGCCCGGAAGAGGCAGTACAGATTATACAGAAAAGACAAGATACTAAATAAGGCCCGAGTCATGTTGGGACTTTTGTAAACCGGGCCTTGTACCGATCGGGAACCGGTGTCCCGAAATCAGCTAGCAAAATCTGTCCCTTGCCTCTATAAAAAGCACATATCATCAGTATGCCCCTTAAAAGTGAACGTTTTTATCAATCAAATAAATCAACACATGCGTACCTCGGCTCAGATCAGTATATTCTCCCATTTGACTTTATTTTCATCCGTGATTGGCAATGTTTAATGCCATTATCATGCCTCTAAAAGTAAAAAACTGGGGCACAGATTAAAAAGGGCAACATTAGAGCCGCCATTTTGACTCAATGCAGTATAAATCGGGTTAAAAAATCAATCATGTAAGAATAATAAAAAGGCTTTCTAAAAAATTCGTCTTTACAACATACCGATCAAATAGTTTTTTAAAGACAAAATAAATATTTTTCTTTATTTTTAAACACTGCATGCTTCTTTTCATAGCTGAAAATTACTTGGTAATCACAACAATTTTTGATACTGATAGCTGTTGCAAGGCAAGTTCTGACTTGCCACAAAAGGAATGTACAGAACACTTCTTTTGCTGTAATGCGTGCCGAAACGGACCCAAACAAATATACATGATCGTAACTAACAATAACTCAAAACTACGAGAGAACAATTGTAAAGACGACAACTACTCTAAATTACCGTAATCAGAGTTATCAGATAACTTGGACAAAGAATTCAGTAGATCTAGTCGTCCAAAAAATGCCACAGCAATTGCGATATTCGAGGAGTGACCGGGCAAATTTTTGTGGTCATTTAAGGCCACAACGTTTGCACAGGAGATCCTATGTCTCTAAAGAGAGGAGCCGACCCTACCCAAATCAGAAGCTTAACGAACAAAAGAGACAGAAATTTCAGTCTAGCATGCATCATGATCGTTCTTTCAACAGTAGGGGGGCTGGTCCGAGAATGAGGATCGTCTTCATAAACGAGGATCGTCTGCATTTTCGCGGACGTTTTTTTTTTCATCGGCGCTCTGCAGGTTTCTGGTTACCGAACCGTCCGCTGGCAATGCAAAATTTGGATTCCCCAGGGAAAAATAACCCTAGTTGACAGTCTACTTTTATGGGTTGTCCATCTTCCCAAGGATTTATTGCTCATAATGTGAAGGTCTCTGTACAAAGTCAATGTAAAATGCATCAAGAAAATCATCCCGGAATCCATTTTTTGCATCGCCGATGTGACGATCAAAAATATGGAACATCTGCTTTTTTGCAGACGATCCTTGTTTTTGAGGACGCATTGGTCTGCGTTTACAAAGACGATCTTCGTTTATGAAGACGATCCTTATTCTCGGATCATCGCCCCTACTGTTCAAGTTTCATACATGATGAGACATAGAGTAAAGGAGCCGGTAATCGGCCAGCTCCCGTTTTCGGCCGATTGGTTGGATGCAAGGTAAAATCACTCTAAAATACATCGCATAGTAGCATAACACATATCCCACACATACCATATCATGCCAGTGTCACTGAAGAACCACATTTGCAATGAAAAATATATCCTAAAATATCACATTTTAGCGATGTAATCGGCGGTCCCGCTACCCAAATCTGAAAAATTGAGTTTCTTACGCGTGTATGTAAGAAATATGGGTACCATAAAATCAGCTTTATATCAAGTATTTTTCAGATTTAGAGCCCGATTTTGTGTTAGTCGCAAGCTCAAAAGTATCTCATCGCATGTATTAAATCAATGCAGCCGGACCCTGCCACGCACACACGATATGTCTGTCTAATTCAGATTCCAACTTCCGATCACCGCTGTGCCTGTCTTCGGCCAGGCGAGCACCAGGGAGCTCCGGCGTGGGATACCTGCTCCGCCCGCTTGTGCTGTACATCAGCGCGGAAACGCACGGCGCGCGCGAGCGCTTCCTATTGACTTTGTACATGCGGCCGATAACTGGCTCCAAAACAGTGAAAATTGAAATGAACATTGTCATGGCAATTCGTGATTTTTTTCTGGGATTCTTTTTTTGTTTAAATAATAATAATATTTGCTTCATGATTTGAACAAAAAATGATAATAAATAGGAAGTAAAGGGTCCTAAAAATAGGATTTTGTCTTAAGTGGCCGAAAACGGGCTCCTTTACTCTATATAATTAGGCAGTTCAGGTGATTTTTTTTTTGTAGGAGATAGGGGGTGATTTCTATATCATTTTAAAGATCACACTTTTATTTACACAATGCACTTTAAATTGTTCAATTTGGACCAACGGTTCCAGAGATACGGATTTTTAAAATAATTTTCAGAACCATATTGATGAGGACAAAAGATCAAAAGGTCAAACCTATTATAATTGTATTGAAGTCAATTAAACCTGTGTTTAAGCAGTGGCACCATTGTTTTCAGAAGTTTGTGATCTGTTAAGCCTCATAATAGTCATATCTCTTCAATGCGATGACCAAACTCGCTGAAATTTGGCAAATATATTCAGTGATGGTTGGCAAATATGAAATTTAATATCTTTAAACAGCACCGTAATAAAATATGCAAATTTATGCAAATTTCCATGTTTTTGTCATCATATTGTTATAAAAGGTAAATAAAAACCCTTTGAATCTAAACTTTTACCAAATGATCTTGTCTATTTATTTCTTTCTTTCTCTCTCTCTCTCTCTCTCTCTCTCACACACACACACACACACACACACACACACGCACGCTTTCTCCCTCTCTCTCTCTCTTTCTTTTTTTCTCTTTCTCTCTCTCTCTATTTCTTCCTTTCTTTCTCGGTCTTTCTCTCTCGGTCTTTCTCTCCTAGTCTCTCTCTCTCTCTCTCTCTCTCTCTCACGCACACGCACGCACACGCACACACACACACACACAAAAGGATGAGGTGACAAATCGTCTATGTAGTCTATACTTGCAGCAATCTTAGAGTAAATGAACAGTTTTTTCGAAAAAATATAGTTACTTTACCCCAAAATATAACCAATTCATGGTAGATTATTACAATATTTATTCCAAATATTAAAATAAATATCACAATTATCAATAAAATACAACATACAATAAACAAGAATTGAAAAAACAAGTCAATCAAGTCACAAACGGGTCTGAATTCTAAGACTACGAAATGGTCTCGACGTCACTCACACAGCTGTTTCATTCACGTACACACCATGCATGTACACGCATCACGCGTCGCATCGTCAAAATCAGTTCGTGCAATTTTCAAAAACTGCAATCATATTATCATATCTACCATAAGATCTACTCATCATTATATGAAACTTTCAGGAAAGAAGGTAAGATGTCTAATTTTGTTAATTACGGAGTTGTAAGTTAGTTGAAAAACTCCTTCCATCTGAATTTCATCACATTGTCGGCAGATTTGAGCAAAACCATCTACTACGATGGTTATTCAACGTACAACTCGCTTCCGATGTGCATCGATAATTGCCGAAGAGAAATGACGTCAAATTTTTTTGTTTTAACCAATCAGAAGGCGGGGAAATCCGAAATAAACTGAGTGTTTTTTTTCGGCAGAACCACGAAAGCTCACGAAAGTGTGGCCGAAAGCGCGCTCACCCTTATGTATGTGGATTCGTATAGGGAGCTGAAATGCGCACCTGCGTACGTGAATAAGAAGTTGTCCCCATCGCGAAGGTTTAAACTGAACTGCCTAATATAATAAATGATCTAGTCATCATGATTTATCTTATCCTCCACTCAATTCATACATTATAAAATATATGGTCATCCGTCTCATAATATAATGCTGGCCCACCAAGGGTGTCGATTTGTATCCGTGGTTGGGGGGGATGATAGGTGCCAAAATATTTTCGGCAATGGATCAAAGCAACCAAAGTGGTAGAAGCGTGTGGCAAGTTGCACCCCTCCCAAGCGCGTAGCCAGGATTTAATTTTAGGGGGGCGGTAGTGCAGCACGCGAAGCGCGGTTCCTAGGGGGTTGGGTGCAGGAAGGGGGAGTCTTCCCCCCCCCCCGCGCGCAAAGCGCGGTAGCTCCGACGTTTCATTAGATTATTAAAGAAAGAAGACGATTCGATGTACAATTCTCGACTCTTAATCCTTGTCTGAATCAAGTTCCCCTTCCTCCGCGCGTAGCGGAAGCTCTGACGTTTCATTAGATTATTAAAGAAAGAAGACGATTCTATGTACCATTCTGGACTCTTAATCCTTGTTTGAATCAAGTCCCCCTTCCCCGCGCGTAGCGCGGAAGCTCTGACGTTTCATTAGATTATTAAAGAAAGAAGACGATTCGATGTACCATTCTCGACTCTTAATCATTAATGTTTGAATCAAGTTCCCCTTCTCCCGCGCGTAGCCCGGAAGCTCTGAAGTTTCATTAGATTATTAAAGAAAGAAGACGATTCTATGTACCATTCTGGACTCTTAATCCTTGTTTGAATCAAGTTCCCCTTCCCCGCGCGTAGCGCGGAAGCTCTGACGTTTCATTAGATTATTAAAGAAAGAAGACGATTCGATGTACCATTCTCGACTCTTAATCATTAATGTTTGAATCAAGTTCCCCTTCTCCCGCGCGTAGCCCGGAAGCTCTGAAGTTTCATTAGATTATTAAAGAAAGAAGACGATTCTGTGTACCATTCACGACTCTTAATCCTTGTCTGAATTCATTGTTGCCCATTCCTGCGAAGCTTTCACATTTTATTACATTATTAGAGAAAGAAGACGATTTGTTGTATCGTGTCCTTCATGAATTCAGTTTCCCCCCTACCGCGCGAAGCGCGGAAGCTTTAATGTTTTAATAAATTATTACTCTTAATCCTTGTCTGTATCCATTTTCGCCCATTCCGCGCGGAGCGCGGAAGCTCTTACGTATCATTAAATCATTAGTACAAGAAGACGATTAGTTGTATCGTGTACTTTGACGTTTCATTTGATTATTACTCTTAATCCACGTCTGAATTCAGTTGCCCCCCTAACAGCTTTGCCCTGTTCGCTAATTTATTAGAGAAAGAAGCCGATTCGTTGTACTGTTCTCTATATTAATCCTTGTCTTAATTCAGTTTCCCCACTAAAAATAAGTTGTGTCACAAATAAGTTGTGACATAATAATCTTTCTCCAAAAATGACAAATGTTTTAGGAAATATCAGGAAATAAAATGAGTGAAAAAAATAAAAATAAAGATACAATGACGTGAATTTTAAAAAGGGTGAATGGAAATAACATAACAACTAGTGAATTATTTTATAAGTCATACTAATGTCCGAAAATCTTTCTCCTTGTCTCCGATCTCATCACGAAATCGTCACAGAGTTCATCTATGTTTACACTGTCCAGGATTGTCTGATGTGCATTGCAGATTGCTACTTTTGTGCTTCGCGCTTAACATTTAGCTCTTTGCTTTTGATGCTGATGCTGTTGATTGAACAAATTGAATAAATTCATCAATTCCTGATGAAGCCGTATGAGCGAGAATTCAATTTATTCTTGTCTCATATACGGTTGTCTTATTTACTTTGTATATAATTATGTATGTATTATGAAAATGAGATAGTAAAATGTGTATATTGATGGTCAACTACTCTCATCGGACTCTCATCATTAATTTTTCTCTTCATTTTTTGTATTTGTTTGTGGTGAATTATTGGGGGGGATGATTGTACAGGCCATCCCCCCCACCTGAAATATTGGGGGGGATATATCCCCCCCATCCCCCCCGGGATCGACACCCATGTGGCCCACGTACTGGCGAATCGGCGAATCGGTACACGCACCGGCGAATCTCCAGACACGACGTTACTTGTCTAGTCTAGACTTATTTTTATTATGACAGCCACAGCATGCAGCAGCATGCACATGCATGCGCATGCAACTTTGTAATAGCTCCACCACGGCCACCTCCAGCTCCAGTGCCGCTAGGCCGCGGCCGCCCCTGCCAGTGCAGTGCGAGGTACAATCACAATTCACATCCATGACACAACAAATACATTTCGCCGGAGGTACTTACACAAAATTCACCATTTTGATCCGAATTATCGCTCCTACCATATAACCATCCTGGCTATAATCCTTCGACATGAACTTTCTGGCGGCTTCTTTTTTCTTGGCCTTGGAAGAAGCCATTTTGTCCCTGTTTTTTTGCGTTAGGGATTTCCCGAAACTCGCGCTGTTGACAGTTCTGTATGGACCGCCAAATGATGGCGCTGCATCGCATACAACCACGTCAATATTATTTTTCTCTCTCGATCTCTCTCTTGTTGAAAACATGTTGTTGTTGTTGTTGCATGGTGAAATGTTAATGTTTTTAGGTCAACCCCCCCCCCCCGGGGGGGGGGTACTCAGATTTGGTTTTGACGGGGATGTGCCGCTGAAGCCTCGAAACCCCTACCCATTTTGGTGGCTTATTCCCAACATTTTCGGGTGTTTGCATAGAAAAAAAAAGAAAGGAAAAAAAAAAAAAATTATGAAAAAGCGGACCCATATTTAGGGGTATTTTTGTGAAAAAGTTACCCAATAGAGCGGCACATCCCCGTATGTCTTAATATGTGAGTATCCCCCCCCCCTGTGTCAATCCCAATGGCCACGACTAGATGCCCTCTGATCGCTGTTTGTTTAAATTCAGAACAAAACATATTGAGGTGGGTAAAATGAAGGGAGGATAAGGGGACAAGAAACTAGAAATTATTATTTTATTCGGCCATCATAATTTTACTGCAATTGAAGCATAATAAATGAAAGTCGCCGGGCTCTGTACCTCGCCCGCTCTGAAATAACGCCATCTTATGGTTAAAAACTGTACAGGAGTTGAAACACTTTAGTATATATAGGAGCCACTTTTTTGTCGAGTGGACATCCGTAAAAAGTGGAATCCACTCTCATTACAGTAATTCAGGCAATATTTTGTTTTGGTAGAATCCACTACAATTATTTTGATCTTCACTTCCACTGAACGAAGTGATCTCTAATATCACTCCTAACATTTTGGAATTCTACTCGTTTTCATTGAGAGAGTAAGAGTTTGGTTAACACAAAAATTCCCTATTTAATGACACCGTTAAAATCAAATAAAAATTTTTCTATCTTCTAATTATTTTATTTAAAAATCCTGGTTCCTGATTTTTTTTTTTTGCATTCTTCGTCATGTCCAGTGCCTTTAGGATTGGGATCCGGGGGTTGTATTTTAATCATAATTACAGCACATTCCTCTCTCCGCCCCGTTTGATAAAAATCTTTAAAAAAACCCAAACCTAATCATATAGTTCTTGACGTATCTAATTACCAGTATTATTTTGTGTTGTATGATGATGATAAAAATGCACATATATTTCCTCCTTTTAGGCACGTAAGATTATGTGGAAGTGTCGTAGTACAGTGGGTCATTCACTCAACTCTCCGTTCCACGGGTTGAGGGTTCGAATTCCAGTCCGGTACTTTTGCAAGACAGTTGCAAGCCATTAGTACCTGGCAATTGCGGGGCCCTCAGAGAGAATAGCATTTATGCTGATGAGGTTTTTATGGGTTTACAAATTATTATCATTATTATTGTTATTATTATTGTTAATATTAATATTACTATTGTTACATTAATAATTATTATTAATTATATATTATATTTATTAACATTTATTTCCTTCTCAACAGCACAATATAAAACACAATGTATATATACATGATATATTTAACAATTATTTCAACATAGAGTATACAGTAATTAATTCAGATACGGAAGGAGGCGAAAACCCGGAAAGCGTAGCTTGAGTTGGGAACGCCCATAATAAATTAACACAGTTACCGAAAGAACATTATAGATATTATTATGAAAATTACATTGTATATAACAGAACGTTGATAGGAAAGAAAAAATAGTGAAAGGAAGAGAGGAGAGAATTAAGTTTAGGAAGGCATGTTCACTTATAAAGAGAAAGTTACATTCTATATGATTTTCAGAGATATTTTTTGTAATTTACGGCTAGAAAATGACGTCCCGGTGAGATTAGATACGGGACGAAGGAAAGATTTACAATATGGGGCGTCTCATCACCCCCGAATACAACCGCGCAGAAATAATTCTACTCTCTACACTCTCCTGTCATCATGAATAGTGATTCTTGTTTCTTTCTGGCTTGGCATTAGCACCTAATTCGATTGATTGTGAATGTCTTACATACACATGACGGTCGTTGACGGTATCGAGTGTACTGCCCGAAGTCATCCAGCGTCTCGAATGGCACGGTACACCTAGGTTGCCATATTCATTGTTTGCCGCCGTGAGGCTGGTGGGAAGTCTTCTGGTCAGAAACACGCCACGAATTAACCACCGTCCTATAAAATGAAAGACATACTGTGTGTGGTCATGGACTTCAACGTTAAGTATCCCCACCATCCAAGTTCAAGATGACCTTCATGTAATAAAAATGCATAACATGTTGTATCCATCTTTCTGTCTGTCCTTCCCCGGCCTTTCTCTCTCTCTCTCTCTCTCTCTCTCTCTCTCCCTCTCTCTCTATCTCTACTTGCTCTCTCTTTTACCTTCTCTTTCTCACTCTTTCTCTCTCTCTCTCTCTCTCTCTCTCTCTCTCTCTCTCTCTCTCTCTCATCTTATCTACCCCTCTCTTACTTACATATAAATTCCACACAGCAAAGTTCCAATGAATATTGTACTAGCCATAATGATTCTTTTTCAGAGGGGCGAGTAATTTCTATGAAATTGTATGCAATAATTATGTTGAAACAACATTATTGCAGTTATATTCAAAATAATGATTGCCTTGATGGATTTTTTTTTTCGAAGCTGGAGAAAAAGACCGTCGTTGTTCATGACAATTACTACTGTACACCTCATAAAAATAATAATTGCATGCCATGCGAGTATAAGATACATAATCTGGATTATAAAAGCAATCTAGGAAATGAGATAGCAATCATAATTCTATTAACATGCTCTGTTTAATTCGCAATAGCACGTCTTAGTCGCCTGGCCTTGAATATAATTATTAAAAGCACAATTAATAGGCCTTTTCCAATTATGTATATGTATTCTCTCGTAATTCTAATTTTTGTTTTGTATCGACGCAGATCTGAATCAGTTTAGTGAATACAGCGTTAGTCGTTATGGTAAATAATATCATCGTCAATTCTGATTAATTTAGATAGTATTTAGTTTTGTTTTTTTATGATAAAGTTCTCGGAGTGGCTACATGCGATTTTTTTTTCTTCTTCAAATTACCCCCAAAGAATCGCGAATCTATAATATGCTGTTCTTTACGCATGTGCATCAGGTCATTATTTTCTTTATGGAAGATAAAAAGATGAAATATATCGTTAGTGATAATTAACATTTCACAATTTGTCACTTCGATAGAAAGTCATTGATTTATGAATACATTTTTGTTAAAGTAGCCTCCCAGTAGGATACACTAATGCAAAACAAAAATAGATTGAAAGAAAATAAGAATGAACAACAAAAAAGAGGAATAAATGAAATAAAGAAAAACCCAAACAAAAGCAAATGTAAGCGATGACTGAAAATACATGAATGAAATAAAAGAAGAAAGCAAGAGAGGGAGGGAGAGAGGGAGAGAGAGAGAGAGAGAGGGAGAGAGAGAGAGAGAGAGAGAGAGAGAGAGAGAGAGAGAGAGAGAGAGTATTAATTGGAACAGAAACAATCAGAACAATTAATTGTGATAGCAACCATGATAACATAACAATGGTGATCGCGTTGTGTTGGCGAATCCTCCATTCCGACCTTTTGTATATAGGGCTAGGTTGCTCTATAGGAATTCTACCAAACACTCTTAGTTTCTCGATCCTTGAAAAAAAAGAGGCCAACCGTCCTAGGGGGTCATGCGAAGTGATCGGGTACGGTATCGTTTCTAGCTATACCTGACAACATCAATGTAAATGACATCAGAATGATAGGAAACATCTCATGTCGAGCTCAATTTCGTGCCACTTTCATGCAGAAAATTTAATTCATGTCAGAAACAAACAGGTAGACTGTGTAACCTTGTATATTGAGGTTTTTTCAAACGATTATTGACTGCGTTACAACGAAACATCGATAGTAATTATGATGTTAGTCTGAAAACAGATACAAAAAATAGTATATCTTATTCTATGTGATTGCTTTTGACTATAAGGTGTATAAGTAATGCAGCTTTGTGACAAACATACTTGAATTTCATTGTGAAACATTATTTACATTCAAATATAGTATTGTTTCTGCTATGTAGAAGGCTTAAATAATACGAGCCATCTCGGAGATTCATAGTAATATAATGCGATTCCATTACGTTCAAATAAAAATAAACAAGATGTTTGATTGTTTTTTCAATATTCTGTTGTCATGAGAGATCATAATTGAGGTGTCGTGGTGTAGTGGGTACGACAACAGACGGTGGACCAATGTGGTCCGCGTTTCGAATCCCGCCGCGGCAATATTAATGACCTTTAATAGCAACACGTTAATCAACATTTGCCACTCTCCACCCAGGTTAAGTAAATGGGTACCCTGGAGGAAGACATCATATCTTGATTGCTTTAGCGCTTTATTGAACTAAGCGCAGTAGAGTATACAGTAGCTGCGAAATAAAAAATGGACCTATTATTATTATTTCGGTTTAGTGGACTGTATTTAAATATCCGAATCGTTCAGAACTACATCCAAATGTGGAAGTAATTTCTCTTCAGGATTTATTGATAAAATTAGCCGAATTTCAAGGTCATAAATTATGCACCTATGTGTCCTTTAAACGTACTATATGCCATTGACTCTTTCCTTTCCCCCAAGCCCACTGCCTCTTTTTCTCTTATTGTTTTTACCCTAATCAACGTTAGCCTTCTCGCACCATCGGTGATTGGGATGGCGTTTTCTTATTGAATTATTTTATCGTTGTTCTAGAAAGTCAGCCCTCTGGCGGTTGATACGAAGAAACTCCTCCGGAATACCAAGACTTTGTTGAAACAGCCTACTTTTTTCAGATATGAACGAGAATGGAGAGGAGAGAGGAGGATGAGAGAGTAAAATAGGAAGGAAGAGATGGAGAGAGAGAGAGAGAGAGGGGGGAGGGAGAGAGAGAGAGAGCGAGGGGGAGGGAGAGAGAGAGAGAGAGAGGGGGGGGAGGGAGAGAGAGAGAGAGATAGAGAGAGAGAGAGAGAGAGAGAGATGGAGAGGATGAAGTAAGAG